ATGATTTTAAAAAAGATGTTGAGACTCTAGAAAGAGTACAGAGAAGAGCAACAAAGATGATTAGGGGACTGGAGGCTAAAACATATAAGGAACTGCTGCTGGAATTGGATATGTCTAGTTTAATGAAAAGAAGGATTAGGGGTGACATTATAGCAGTGTTCCAATATCTCAGGGGCTGCCACAAAGAAGAGGGAGTCAAGCTATTCTCCAAAGTGCCTGAAGGCAGGACAAGAAGCAATGGATGGAAACTAACCAAAGAGAGAAGCAACCTAGAACTAAGGAGAAACTTCCTGACAGTTAGAACAATTAACTAGTGGAATAACCTGTCTCCAGAAGCTGTGAATGGTCCAACACTGGAAGTTTTTAAGAAGAGATTGGACAGCCATTTGTTTGAAATGGTATAGGGTTTCCTGCCTAAGCAGGGGGTTGGACTAGATGACCTCCAAGATCTCTTCCAACTTTGTAGTAGTAGTAGTAGTAGTAGTTATTATTATTATTATTATTATTATTATTATTATTATTATTATTATTATTATTGCACAGTCAGCCAGATGTTCAGACTGGATTTGGCATTTTTGTCTACCTATCGAGTCCTTACAAAGGACCTGGGATAGGCAGATGTGGATGTTTGATGGTATTACAGATATCATCGTAGGATGGAAGCAGTTCCTAGTGAGGCCGCCTTTTGCAATTGACTAATGGCAAATTTGTCAATGCCAATGGTGTTCAGTTGTTTTGGGATTGCACCCAAGGCGCCTCTTACTATTGGTACTATCCTTGCTTGCCTTTGCCACAGTCTTTCTATTTCTATTTGTAGGTCTTATATTTTGTTGTCTTCTCCAGTTCTTTCTCGTCTATTCTGCTGTCTCCAGGCACTGCCACATTCACTGTCCAGACTTTTTTGTCTTTTTTATCGACAATTGTTAAGTCTGGGGTGTTATGTTGCAGGTGCTTGTCTGTTTGAATTCTGAAGTTCCAGAGCAGTTTAATTTTATCACTTTCTATGATTTTCTCTATTTTATGATCCCACCAGTTCTTGCTTACAGGCAAATGATATTTCTTGCAGATCTTCCAATGCACCATTGTTGCTACTTTGACATGCTGCTGCTTGTAGTCAGTCTGTGCGATCTTCTTGCAACAGCTTACCAGGTAATACACTGTTTCTTCAGCTTCTTTGCATAGGTGGCACTTACTGTCTGTTGCTGTCTTCTCAATTTTGACTTTATATGCATTTGTCCTTAAGGCTTGGTCTTGTGCAGCCAGAATTATTCCCTCGGTCTCTTTCTTCAATTTTCCTGCTCTTAGCCATTGCCAGGTCTTGTTATTATCTGCTTTCCCAGCTATTTTTTTTAATGTACTGGCCATGTAGTGCTTTGTCTTCCCATGCCTCTGTTCTGTTCTTCATTTGGTCTTTCTTGTAGTCCAGTTTGGCCTCTCCAGTAGTCACTAAGCCTTCCTGATATACTAATTTCAGTGCATCTTCATCATTGTCCTTCAGATATTCTTCCAAAGCCATTTTTTCTTCTTCAACCATCTGATGTATTTGCAGCATTCCACGCCCACCTATTTATCTTGGTAGATAGAGTCTGTCAAAGTCACTGCATGGATGAAGGGAATGATTCATTGTTATTATTTTTCTGGTCTTCCTATCCATTGCTTTTAGTTCTGCTTGAGTCCAGTCCACTATTCCAGCTGTGTATCTAATGACTGGAATTGCCCAGATATTGATTGCCTTCATGGTATTTCCTCCATTGAGTTTGGACTTTAAGATCTTCTTCACTCTCTTGATGTATTTACCTCTAATCTTGTGCTTGATGTTAGCTTGAAGGATACCCAAGTATTTATATTATTATTGTTGTTTTTATTTATTTATTTATTTGGTAGGATGAAATATTCATGTGTTCTTCTTTCATAATATTTGGAAATGACCATTGTTACTCCCTGTGGCAAAGAATTTCACCACAGAGATATTAATTGTAAAATACTAATGATATGTTTGAAGGATGGACATTTTCTTCCTAACCATAACTACTGCATATGGATTTTAGAAGTTCCATGAAAGGGAACCAGCAGAGGTTAATTTGTAGAGAAATAACTAATCTGAGAATGATCTCCTGATATTGTAGTAGTTCAGCCAATAGTAATGAACATCCTTGTTAGCCTCAGACTTGGAAACCTTAATTTCATAAGTTATTGAGCTTCCAGTAATAGTAGCTCCTCCTTATCAATCTGACACATTCACACATTTCACATTCAAGTTTAGAAATAAGTTCAAATACCTATCACACATATTTGAAATCCTGTCAGCTTTGCTAACAATTATGGTACCCACAGAAAAATACTCATATTTTTATATTCCATTGCAGAAAATTGTGATTGGCTACAAAGAGTCAGTATTCCTTCCCATTTACTCCAGTTTTGATCTATGCTTAGTTCTGCACTCTGAATAAAATAGCATTCTATTTTATCTAATTCTTTTGTGCAGCACTAATTATGTTAATTACTTTTCCGAAGGCTACATCTTGTACTAACAGCCAGGATAGTTTGGTATGACATGAAGAATTGCTCTTTCTCTCTACCACTGATTCTGTAATCAGCATGTAGCCACAGAACAGAAGTTGTGCTATAAGTAACCCAGAAATTAGACTACCATCTAGATTTCTCAGGTTGTGTTCTACAAATATTTTCTAGATCCCAATACATAGTTTTACATTATGTTTAATGTATTAGGACATCATGATGGGGCAGGGTATGTTCCTAATATCTAATCATTAACCTCCAGGTTTATGCAATATCCAGGGATATATCTGAGATTCTGCTTGCCTCATCAAATCCTACAAATTCTTTTCTATGTAGAGCACATGGCTTAAATGGCCAAATAATATATTACCTTGGTCATGTAAAATCTAGAAGCATAGCACTTCCATAATATAGAAGAAGAAAACAACTTACTATCTTTCCTGGACCAGCAGAGACCACAATGGCAAACTAGAAACACAAGTGTAGAGAAAAACCACCTATACTAAACAAGTGCTGTATACCAAAATAACAACCCAACCTCCCACAAGAGAAGGTGTATAAGGATTTTATTTAGATGAACTCAAACTCACTGTAGCAACCTAGAACAGCAGAAAAAGGAAGTAGAATATCCATACAACATACTCCAAAGTATCCACAAAACTTTATAAGAAATGTCTGACCACTCAACCCAATGCAGCACAACCAACACAAACCCTAAAAAGCATTACGCTGCTATATATCAAGAATATCACCAATTTCACCAAACCATCCACAGACTGATACAACCACATGAAAACCGCATAGCACACAAGCCAACTAAAGTCCTTCAAAACATACTAAGTAAACCAGCAGCCCCAGAAGAAAGTTAACCCATACTAAATAAACCCAGCAGCCCCAGAAGAAAAAACAGGAGTCAACTATATCATATAATGTAATGCAACAACCATTATGTAGGACCAGCAGGCAGAAGACTGGCAGGAAGCATCCCTGAGCACCAACTAGCAGTCTGAAAACATGATGAAAATTCTTTAATTTTACAACATATGGGCAGAATTAACCATAGTTTCAGGTGGGAAAATGTGACTTATCCTAGACCAAGCCAAGTCCAAAAACACTAGGAAACACTAGAACCCGCACTCTGAGAAATACACTGTACGTCATCAATAAGTTCAATCACATTTCTCACATTAAATCAGGTATTTTATAAAAATGTATAGCATGCAGCAGTCACCAGACAGTATATGTTAATTCTTAATTCTTTTAATCAAAGAACAAGCACAGACAAGCTTGTTTGGGACCAGAGTAAAGGGAGTGACCTCTCCACTCATTTCCATAGACAAATGCTTTTCAGCATGCTGAATTTTGTTATTATTCCCTTTGTAGAAATGCCAATGCAGAGCAGGGGATATTAGCAGTGTTCTGGATGACAGAATTTAGACCACGTATGTGGTGGTCATTATCAGGATTCAGCTCCCTGTGTGTTCATAGTAAAATAAAAGCGAAACAAGAGCAGGTACCCACCACTTACCACAGGCTTAGTCATAATTTGAGTGGCACTCTCTCCATTAATGAATAGGTAGAAAATTTTCTTATAAGGCTGAAATTAGAGATTTTTCCTATAGTGACAATTTGAGCTTTGTATCTGCTGATCTTCTTGGCTATAGTTGCCATTATATACACGGCAATGTGAAATCACCTCTGCGGTTCTTTAGCTTTTATTGGCCTTCATATGCATCAAGTTCTTCCCTAGAACCTAGGATACCAGAATGTATTGTGTAGTATACATGATGTGCAGATGAAAGCAGTGTGGCATTGTGTAATTGACAGCTGGAAACATTGCCAATGCTCAGATTTATTGTGTCCTTCAAGATTTTTGGGAATGGCACCCAGTTTATGCCATAATCTTTCAACTTCAATTTTCAATTCTTGATACTATGTGATCTTATCCAACTCTTTTTGTTTTTCAATTCTAATTCTTCTTATATGGGGTTAATCTATAGTTACAACGACTGTCAAAAACTGGTAATTATGTTTAATGATAAATCTTTTTGTGTTCACAGTGTGTACTCTAAAACTGTCCAAAGTATTGAAGTTGGAGTGACTGGTTTATATCTTGTTGCATTTTCATTTTCCTGCTTTTTGAAGATAGGAATAATAGTACATCTCCTCCAGTCATCTGCAGTTCACTGGGATTCCTTGGAGCATGGTGGCTCTCATGATTAGGAGGCTGGATTGGAGGTTAGCAAGCCACATTCCAGGAATTTGAAAAGAACCCCCAACTGGACATCCCCTGGTGATCTCTTCCCCTAATCCTTTCAATCTGGAAGCACCTCAATGCTTCTGACACAAGTGTGATTTGACCAGGATTTCTCAAACATAATTCATAAGAGTGTGAAATTTAGTCTCATGTTGGAGATTTTGTTGTCCCCAAAACTGGGTCTTAGCTTGGTGTTGAAGCCAATTGAGCACCAAACACAAGATGTGGAACCAAAAAAGACTTTTATTTTGGTACCAAGATGAAAGTAGCCCTGGCTTTAAAAGCTACCAAGGCCCCAATTACAGTTTTATAGCAGTTTTTATAATCAAAGGTGATTCACATACACCCATTTGCCCTCCCAATACACCCCTTTGCCCTCCCCCTAATAATACATGCATAATACATAATATTGATTGGTTACCTGGATTGCAGCCCCCTAAAGCTTTCTCACTTGCTATGCAAAATAGCTAAATGTCATGCCACTTCTAGTTTTCTGTGCCAGCTATGCGGTTTTGGGTTTCTTGTAAGTGATCTATTCATGTACTAACATCCTGGCTAAGTTGTTTCTGACAGATGAACTTGTGAGTCTGTCTCACTTCATTGCTCCTGTAGCCCCCCTCCCTTACTCCCCCACTCAACTCCTCCCAGCCCTTCTTGTAATGCTATCAAGTATGTCGTTAGGAAGCTTGTACTGCAAAGAAAAAGGTGGGTAATTGTCCAAGAGTAAATGTTTCTCTCACAATTCATCTTCCTCACTCTCATGTCCGTCACACCCACATCTGGGTCCTATCTCCACATAGGATCCTTCTTATGATCCCCAGGGCCTCATCTCCAAGTATAATTTTTTCATCTGACCCTTCATTTAAACACATTGAATTAAACAGATACTCTTCCCCATCTCAATCTTGCCTCTTCATTTTTTTTTGAAGAAAAGTGCCTCCGAAAAAACATGTACTACATATACAAATATATTATCCACACACACATATATATTATTTACAGATATTATTGTTGTTATATCACTGTTTATCATTGTTACATGTCTCAAAGCGTTGCCTAATAGCCTGCAATATACTTCCTGGGATTTTCTGATGTTTGTCCCGTAAAGCCTCCATTGCCCTTTGAGTCTGTTGGAAAGGTGGAGTGGGATGGCATGGGATGGGATGAGGAAAAAAAAAGGTGATATAATTAAATTTATGTTTCAGGTATTATAGGGAGAACATTTCAGAACTAAAGGATATTGACTCTTCTATAGAACAGAAACATATTTAAACATATATGTAAAATTCCAAAGAGTTATGGCAAAGATTTTTTTTTTCTATTCCTACTGATGCCATACTGTACATAATCAGATAAAGCACATTTTTCCATTGGGTTAAACTATATGGTACATTAAAATAGATGGTGTAGAACTACCTCTCTGCCTACATTCAGTAGTATAATTAAAAAAACAGAATAGAAGTTGGATGCCTTTTATTTAATTTGCTCCTAACTGTGGATTGTTGAATAAACCACTATTGTCTGGATTGAGCTTTTACTTGAAAAGCATGAACCTCAGTTTAAATGCTATAATATCTGATTTCTCAGAACGTGCAAATCCCAAAGTAAACTGGAGTATGGCTTTGTAGGCTGTGTGACCCTAGGTTTTTGAAGTTAACTGTCCCTCTTGCATATTATGTCCAACCCATTTTTCCTCTAAGGAGAAAATGCTCCATTCTATTGGTCATAGAAATAAAGAGTCACAAAATATAGAAAGGTACTCTAAGTGGCATAAAAAAAGCTATAAATGTGACTGAGTTGAATCACTTTGTCATTCAACAATTTGTGGCCTCGTATCATTAATGTAGTGATATTTACCAGCATTACAGACTGACCAGGAGATATCTGGAAGTTTTGACTGGTACTTAGATTTGTGAAGGACTGGAAGGATAAGAGTTGAATCCAAGGAAGACAAATTTATTATTATATTGAAACCATCTGATTATATGAAATTTCTATCTACTGATCTTGACGTGATTGCGGTCACCCAGAAAAAGTTGGTATGCAATTTGGGGTATTCCTGGACTCATAGCTTCTGCTCAAACAGGAGATTGAAGTTGTGCCCTAAACAGTCTACAAAAGCTGTACCTATTCTTGGACTAGGTGTTCAGACAGTAACTCCTGCCTTTGTTATTTCTCAAAATGTTTTCATGTATTCTATGTGAAGCTGCTACCAAGAAGTTGGAGTTGTTTGCAACTAAAGTTCTTAGGGCTTTAGTATGATACTTATTTGATTGATGTTTTCAATTAAACTTACAGTTAGCCATGTTGAGTAATTTAAATAAGTGATATTTAAACACTAATGGATGAATATAAGGATGGAGGGATAGATGGATGGCCAATAGTCTTACACTGACAGTTATGTACCAAACACTCAACTATACTTATGTAAATCTAGGTAATGTATTTAAATAACCTTTACAATCTGTTACTATAGAGTTATAATTTCATGAACAAAGTGTTAATCTGAATGTATATTTTTCCCTTACAATAGAATACACTTACTTTTTCAGCTAATTTTTCAGGAGTTATATCTGGATCATACGGAATTGGTTTTCCAATATGGCTTATAAGTTTAACTGGAAACATTCCATATAATGGAAAGGGGAGCCATCGGGTTCGCTCATATAACCATCTCATTGGTCCTGTGTACAAGATTTAGAAAATCTCAGAAACAATTTTAGCAAAGTGCAAAGTTTCATATTAGTCTTTGTTAGAGACTATATTCAAAAACTAGCAATTTTTAGTAGTGGTATCAGAAGTTACTAATGTAAAGGTTTTCCAGTTGAAAGAGAAGAGAATAAGCTATCATATTTGGACCTTACAATTTGCAAAATTTAGCTTAGATTTTACAAAGATTTGAAAATTAGAGTTTAGAAAAGCAGGCTAATCCAGACATGTAAACATACACACAGATCCCAGAAGACTGATAAATGGCAGACAGACAGACAGAATTTCCAGACTAAGCCCAATGCATTTACAGTATATTCTGTAATTTCTGGGTCAGCCCTGTGTCCATATAATCCCATGATTTTATGTCAATTATAGAAAATGTATTGAATCAGGTTTTCCAGCAAAGCTCTGAAATTCTGTAGAATTCAAGAGTTAGATATTTTCATATATTTCATATTCATATATCTATATATTCATTCAGCATTTTGATGAAAGATGAAAAGAGATTAGACAGTCTTTTATCATTTGTTGTTCTTTAAATGAACTTCATAAAAAGTATTAAATGTACATACTCCCAAACTGAACTACATCAATTATATTTTTTAAATATTTATAGCCCAGGTTTAGTTATTGCTGCTTGAGCTACAGTATCATTGAAATTACCTGTAAAAATGGCAGGAAAAGATGCAGATGCATAGATTTATAGCCTTAAAAGTAATAACATTCCTGAGAATACATAAAGTTTTACTTACTTATATTTCCATATGTTACATATCCTTCTCTAATATTTTGTGTAAATATAGGGATGATTGGCTAGAAGAAATAAAAAAAAAATAATGAGACTGTTTTAGTCACTGTACATGAAAGAAATGAAATGTATTGTTTGGACATAAAATAGATCTTTGAGAACCTAATGTGGGTAATATATGTTGCTAAGGTCATTGCATCTTTTGACTTCCTATCAGATATTTTCTTCTGAGATTTTAATCACTGCAACAGTTGCATTATCCTACTAAATGTAGTTTGAACTCAGCTTCTAACATGCTGAACTATCCTTCATTCTTTCTTTAGTGCTGAATTTTCATGCATCTAATCTCAGTCCGCATCCTTGGGCAAATGCTGGGTTTTGCTGTTCAATGTAGGAGAGGGATCATCGTGGATCAACTTTCCAACTGTCACTTCCTCTTTCATAGTTCATTCTAGGAAAGTGACATAAAAGTGTGAACCATCTTTTATTTAAGATTTTGGTGGGGAATAGGTTATTCCTTCATGGAGGAGAAGTAAATCGGAGTATACTGCATATTTCATCTACAAATCTATATCAGATGGCAAATTGAGGCTACAAAGATTCTCCAGAAACAGGAGACATCATGAGATGCCAACTTGCACTCCTGATAGCTGTTTCTCATGAATAGACTGCAAGGACTGAAGTTTTTGTGGTTGGCTTATGAGTTGAGCGGCTGGGCTTTGAGAGAATACAGTCAGGATTACTACCGTAATTTTTCATATATGGATGGAAAGTTCACACAAGCCTTATTTCTTTTTTTAAAAAAATATTTTATTAATTTTCTATTTTTACAATCAAGTGCTTAATAGGCAACCTGTTGACTGAGTCCATTAGTAATTCCGTGGTACATATAAGCTTGTTCAAACTAAACCCAATATTACATCCTCCAATACATCCTCTCTTCTTCTGGTAATAGACATTTTCCCATACTAAGCAAATACAATTTTTATTTTTGTTAGTAAATATACAGTTGAATATCAACATTTGTTATAATTTTCTAATAATAACAATGATATCATTTTAGAATATCTTTTCTAACCAAAACATATCTTAATTGCATTTGCACTCAATATCCATTTATTCAATCCATATCATACTTTCTCTTTTTTCAATTTTAATTTCCCATCCTTGTTCAAAATACCCTAATCATATATAAGTTCTGAACAATTATATTTGGTTAATCAAAAGCTTCCCTTATTCAAACTTCTTAGCATATTCTTATTTTCCTTTTCACACCAAGATATGATATTCTGATTACAAATCCTATCTATCTAGTTATAATAGTATTTCTATTTCTAGCAATCTATTCTTAACCATATTCAAACATCTAATTAGTAATATAATCCCCACTAATAGGTCAAAGCTTCTGTTTTCTTCAATATTATTCTAGCTTTCTTCCTTTGCCAGCTAACTTTCCAGGTCAGTGCATTTGGATTATCAAATAATTCTTCCTCTATTTTTGTGTACATTATTTGGAACAAGAGAAACAATTTAAAGTATTTTTGGAAGAACCAGCCCATTGATATTCATTAAACAGTCTCTCCTTCTCCAGTTCCCCACAATTCTGTTAACAGTTCTATCTTCCATTCCAATGGCTTTCCTTCCTTATCCTCCAGTGTGTTCTGAAATCTTGGTTGGTAGAATGTCTTTTCCTTTTCCAATATTATTATTGTGTCTTCTAAGTCTTCATTTGTCTGAGTTTGGCCATTAGTTCCTTCCTTTAGATCCTCCATATTTGTGTCAGCATTCTCTGATTTTACTTCTATTTTCTGGGTTGCTAGTTCCTTCTCTGTAGTTATTTTCTGAGTTTGCAGTTTTAAATTAGGAAATTGTTCTTTTATCTCCTTTGTGTTATTTTTAATCTCATCACAAGCTAAAGTAATTGTTTCTTGTATTAATTTCAACATGGAGAGAATTTCTTTCTGTGATTCATCAGTATTTTCTTGGTGGTATGTCAAACTGAAGCTTCTGGAGACAGATGTTAAGGATGGTTTTTTTACCATTTAGAGCTAAATATGGAACATCCATTTTATTTTTTGTAAGTGTCCTTTATAGAAATATATTTAAGAGTTTAGAAAATTTCAGTTAATTGTCATTAGAGCTTCAGATTATCCAACCAACTAGCCATTCTTAAACCTCCCCTAAGCAGTTATAAGTAAAATTCAATATTTTCTGTCCAATGAGAAATATATCCTTTCTGTCCAGGGAGAAGAAAGGACCTTTAAAGGTTGTTTATCAATCAAGATTTAAAAACAAAAATGTTCCATCATATCAGGCAATAGTGTGTTTCTTCTACAGGAAAATAGTTCCACAATACAGTTCTGAAAGACAGTCTTTGTGTTCATATTTCAGACAGGCCAATTTTGGAGTAGTTTATCATCTCTGCCAAACAGATAAGCAGTCCCCAAGTCTGTTCCTTTTTCTCAACTGTAATCTTCAGAAATGAAAGCTTTTTTCTTTTTTTAAAAAAGTCTTAATTTTATATATATATATATATATATATATATATATATATATATATATATATATATATATATGCTGGAAAATTTGCATAAAAATACGACTCCTGGGCATGTCTGTGGTACAAATAAAATACGAACACCAGGAGAGTATAAATATAAATATAAAAATATACTTTACTAAAAGCTGCCAAGCTTTCGTTTGGAAACTCCAAACATCATCAGGGCTAAGGAGCCAGTAGACAATGATGACTTAAATGGGTTTTGCCGGCATCTGCAGCCGGCTCATGGACCGCGTCACCGGTCCCGGCCGATTAATTAGTGTTCCAGATGTTTCTTTATTACTCTCCTTATGCTTCCTTCTATGGTTCTTCCGGATCGTTCCTTCCACTATCTCATTACTGGCATTCATCTCCTCCACCACCCCTTTATCCTTATTTCCTTCCATAGTACTGACCCTCCTCCCCTTTTTGTTTTCATTTTCCACCCTGGGGGCATCTGTTTCTCCTCTCTCAGTGTTACAAGCTTCCCTGGGCTCACCGATGCTCCCCCCCACACACGCTTTTCTCAATTCCTGCTCCACACCCTTTCTTCTCACTCTTCCACTGTCATGAGTAACTTTCATACGGGTGTTGCATATGTCTTACCATCTATTTCACCTTCCAGGGTACCATCTTCGAACAAGTTAAAGGGACACCTATGGGCTCCCCCATTTCTAGCACTATAGCGGAAATAGTACTCCAACAGCTAGAACACAGGGCTATGGCCTTATACCAACCCAAATTTTGGGTTCGGTATGTGGATGACACGTTTGCGGTTGTTAAAAAACAACATGTAGCTACCTTTATGAGAGTACTTAACTTGATCCGCTCCGACATCCAGTTTACAGTGGAGGAAGAAAAACAAGGTCACCTAGCCTTCCTGGACGTGTCAATATACCGCCAGTTGGATGGGACGTTACTTACAGGGGTGTTTCGTAAACCCACCCACACGGACAGAATACTCCACTATAGGAGCAACCACCCCATATCTCATAAAGCTAGCTGCATTAAAGCATTGTTTAAGCGCGTGGACTCCCACTGCAGCACTGAGGAGTTTAAAAAGAAAGAAAGGCAATACCTTTTCTGGATTTGTCAACGTAATGGGTATCCTTTGAGGTTTATCAGACAGTATGGTCTTACACCCCAGTCCCGGAACAACCAAAAGAGAGAGGAACCATTATTACAAAGAATGCGTGTTTCCTTGCCATATATTAATAATGTCTCGGAAGCAACAGCCAGACTGCTGGCCCCCCATGGAATAAAAGTGGCCCACAGACCCAATCAAACATTACGGTCCAAAGTCGTTCACCCCAAGGACCCACTCCCTGCCATGGATAGATCAGCAGTAATCTATAAAATCAATTGCAAGAACTGCGATGGCAATTATGTGGGTGAAACAGCTAAGCGTTTAAGATCTCACTTGCATGAACATCAATTAGCTATAAGAAGGGGCGAGCAGCATTCTCAATTGTGGATGCATATGGCACAACATGGCCACCAGTTTGACTTTGTGAACGTTCACGTTATGTCTGAGGATGCCACTAAGGGAGGCCAGCTATTGAAAGAGGCGTGGTATTCCAACAAAGATGCGGTTAATTGTCACATTGACTTACATCCAGCGCAACAAGCATTGAGGAAATGGGATTTTAAACACCATGCCAATCGTTATAAGCGGTCTGAGCAATGCTTGTACAGCTGTAAACGTGACGAGATACATGGCCCCCATCCTGAACAGATAGATGGAGCTTTGGCCAACCCTCCACACTCCAGGGGCACCCCCGTTTCGCCCGATCAACACCAATACCGCTCTAATGAACGTCTGAGGAGGCTACCTCTGTCAAACACACGTAATCATTCACCGATGGAAGACCTCCCCCTTCCCCAATATCACCATGATAGATCCCCACCCCCAGAACTTAACAACAACTGTGGAAAGTGTGGAAGATCTAGCATGAAAAGTCTGCAGCCTGATGCTGTGGGTAGGGGGGAGAAGAAGAACGAAAGCACGGCTCGATTGCCTAGGCATACGGTGAAAGGGAGAGACACGGAGTTCTGCCTGGACTCCCTGCAGACAAGGAATACCCCCAGTAACAATATAGCCCCCCCCCCGGGACGAACACTTTGAAGTTCCTCCAAAGACGAGCACAGGAGAGGAGAGTGAGAATGCGGGGAATCAGAATACAGAGACCTGGAGACCTGGTGTCCGCCTGAATACCGTTCCTATCAGCAATGGGGAAGAGCATGTGATAGGGAGGAGGGGGGATGATGAATTGAGAGACGGAGTAAGCACCCGATCACGCAGCAAACAAATGGAACGGTGGAGAACTGTCGACACAAAGATTGCCAGGACGGAGGAGGAGGGCACAGACCCCCAAATATGCAACACCCATATGAAAGTTACTCATGACAGTGGAAGAGTGAGAAGAAAGGGTGTGGAGCAGGGATTGAGAAAAGCGTGTGTGTGGGGGAGCATCGGTGAGCCCAGGGAAGCTTGTAACACTGAGAGAGGAGAAGCAGATGCCCCCAGGGTGGAAAATGAAAACAAAAAGGGGAGGAGAGTCAGTACTATGGAAGGAAATAGGATAAAGGGGTGGTGGAGGAGATGAATGCCAGTAATGAGATAGTGGAAGGAACGATCCGGAAGAACCATAGAAGGAAGCATAAGGAGAGTAATAAAGAAACATCTGGAACACTAATTAATCGGCCGGGACTGGTGACGCGGTCCATGAGCCGGCTGCAGATGCCGGCAAAACCCATTTAAGTCATCATTGTCTACTGGCTCCTTAGCCTTGATGATATTTGGAGTTTCCAAAAGAAAGCTTGGCAGCTTTTAGTAAAGTATATTTTCATATTTATACTCTCCTGGTGTTCGTATTTTATTTGTACCATATATATATATATATATATATATATATATATATATATATATATATATATATATATATATATATATTTGTCCTTAATTACGCTAAAAATACGAATCCCAGGTATACTCATGTTCAAGAAGATAATCGAACACCAGGATAAAATACAAACAAAACTGTTTTAATATACTTAGTTTTCGTCGGCTAACTGCCAATATCGTCAGAGTAAAATGCCGGTGTTTTGGGAGTTTGCTTATAAAGCTGGCTGTTTTTGTGCTCTGCTCATGGAGTGAGTTACTGGTCTGCCCGCCCCAATTGGCTGTATTGTTTCTAGCTGTCCCGCATCAGTCTGTGTGTTCTTAAACTCAGGGGTTATTTCCTTCCTTATGGTTGCTCTCCTTGTCTGCCTGGTTTGTGTCTGAGTGCCTGTTGCTATGGGTTGGTTCCCTAACACTTCCTGTCCTATGGTCACCCCTCCTTTTGGCTGTGCCCTGGCCCCCTCCTTAGTTCTTTCAGAAGATGCACTGGGGATTCCTTCCTTTCGGCAGTTGTAGTTCTTTGTCACATGGGCCAGCCGTTCCGATCCTGCAAGGCTGGCATTCGTTGCCTTCGTCACAAGTTGTTACATTGTTCCTCCCACTCTCTTAATGCCTGATAAGCAGGCAGTAGGTCTATGTGATGATTGATCAAGTGCCCGTCGGATAACCAGGCCTCCTTAAGTAAGTTTTGCTGCAGCATTTTAATACAAGAGTGAAGATTGACAATACAGATAAAATTATTCTTAAAGAAATTTTCTGTTAAAATTTTGCATAAGAGAAAAGAGTATTTTGAATGACAGATTTAAAAAGAACCCGTTTTAATGGAACAAATTGAATGGCATGGACTTTTGCTTTCAGATAGCAGTGTTTTCAATCTGTTCAGAAGGCAAGGGAGTTTCTAGAAAAATAAAGAGGAATTGAAGGAGATTCAAATGGAGGCATCAAAACAGACTACGCAAATACTCCAACAGGTGTGAGAGGAAATTGAAAGAGATGATATTGAATGGAATACTACAGATACCAATTTTTCTAAATTTTTGGCTTGATGATAGATTATAAATGCTTAATGTGAAATATAAATAGAACAAATGCTCCTCAAAAGAAAACAATCACTATTAATAAAATAAAATAAAGAATTAAAATTAAAAAAATAAAAAAGAGTTAAAGAATATATGGAAATAAGGACATAAATAAAGAGCCAGTCTGGTGACTTTCGGCCAGTCACTCTCTCTCAGCCCAACTCACTTCACAGAGCAGTTGTTGTGCAAAATAAAATAAAAGAAAAAAAATAGGAGGATGAAAGAGTATTAGAAATGTTCAGCTAATTCAATTATTTATAAAAATAATCAATGTAGGATTAAATGTAAAAATGCTTTATAAAAAGTTATTTTTAGCAAGAATAAAAAATAAAAAAAGTAATGGAGGTTTTTGTGTATAAATTTCTAATTAAAATTAAAACTTTATATTGAGTGATGAGTATGATAGATTTGGGGGTGGAAGTCCATTTGCGTGGGACAAAGACTTTCAACAGAATTTATGATACAAACAATGAGAAAATATTGACATATGGAGAGATCAATGTCTTTCTCTTCTAAAAATTGTTGTTAATTAAGGGGTTAGAATAGAGTAATTTCACACAATTGAACAGAACATCTGAGAAGAATATTAAAATCACTCAAGGCAAATTGCCAACAGTTTTCTTTGATTTGATGGAGAACTTAAGTCTGATTGATATAAGGAGGCAGAAAAAACTGGCAATTCAAAAGAGTATATTTATTTTTCTGAGAGATATAGATTCTTCTCAGGAATATACATGATTTGAATTTTTTCAAAGAACTTGGCTGAAAGGATTTCTAAAGTCACAATATAATATGAACTTAAAAAGAAGAGTCAGTAGAGAATACAACCTATTTTGGAAAAACCAAACAGGAAAGAAAGAAGATTCCAGAGAAGATAAGTATTCCTCAACAAATTAAGCCTCTACAACAGTGGTTCTCAACCTGTGGGTCGGGACCCCATTTGGGGTCGAACGACCATGGTCGTTCATTTCAACGCAGTCTGCCATTTTTCCCCCTTTTCCTTAGCTGTGCTACTCCCTTTTATTCTATTGGCTTTTGAAAGCCAATAGAATAGACTCTCTTGAATAGAGTCTAATTCTATTGGCTTTCAAAGCCAATTGAATTGTCCAGGCTTTGCCTCTGCCCTGCTGAGCCTGCCAAAAGTCCCAATCTGCAAACGGTGCTGCACCAGTTGAGTAGTCCTCGACTTACGACTGGTTGAGTAGTCCTCGACTTACGACCAGTTGGGGGTCGCGGCATTAAAAAGGTTGAGAACCACTGCTCTACAATGACAATTATCTATGGTAGCAGTGAAAATGAAGTGTGTAGATGAACTAGGGATATAGCTAGCATGTGAATTACAAAAAGAAAAAGAAGGGAAAATAATATTGCAATTAGAAGAGGGAGACACTGCATGAATGGAAAATGTCATCAAAGAAAACAAATTCCATAAATATTATATGAATGTGACAGCTTTCTAGAGATAATAGAAGAATGAATAAAGAAACCAAATTTATGGACCATTACAGAGGACATATTTGCCATTTCCTGACCTGTCAAATATGATTGGTTGTTGCATCTGCCTTCCTGTACATTTGCAGATAGGCAAATAAATAAATAAATAAATAAATAAATGCTATAGAACTGAAACATGGAATTTAGAAATACATATTGCAATTAACAGCAACACTAGGAAAACTAGGCTCACCACTTTTGCATCTATAGCTATATGAGCAAATCCTTTCCTGTTTCCCCATATCATCTTGTAGCGGTTATTTCCATAGTTCTGCTCTCGCAGTCCTCCTGGTGCAACCATCAGCTGGTGTCCTTGTTTCAGAATGTTTACGCTCTTTTCTCTTGTAGGATGAACAGCGTAATTGAATAAGCGGCACATATTTAATCCTGCAAAAGCAGACCTATGAAATCATTCTGTTCTTCCTTGTAAAAGAAAACCAAATACAGATATTTCCACCATGATAATTCATTTAAGTCTTTGAAGAAGAAAAAGTGGACTTCCCAAATCAGTGAATCAATATCTTTTGAAAATAATTAGAACTAAACTTACAGTATTTTTATAGTATTTTTTAACCTGGTAGACGAAAAACAGTATGATCCATTACAGAATAGAAGGGTTTCCTGGTAAGTCTAAAAATCCTATGGATAAGAAAATAGTGGTCCATTGGTATGGGTCCATGGTAATAAACAAGGATCGCTGGTTCTTTTGGTAGATTTTCTAGTCCAGAAACCTCATAACCTGTTAATGGTAGAACAATGAAATGGCTTCAATATTGTTTCACAAGGTTCTCCTCTAGAAAAAAAATAAGATCATATAGAAAAATAACTATTTTCTTAGCTTTCTTAGCTTACTTGTGAAGCTTAATACTTTAAATCATATGTCATTCCTCAAACAACATGCTGTCACATCAATCAATCAATCAATAAATCAATCAGAATCTTTTGAGATTTGAGTGTTAATACCTTTCTGATCCTGCATATTCTTTCTAATTTGTTATGAAGTCACTTAGATTCGTACCAATTAAAATGACATAAGAGCTTATTTTTTTAAAATATCTCAACATTATCATAGGATATTTGGGGCATTTTAAAACATTTTTAAAAGACAATCTTGGTATTCTGCTTACTTTTTCCAGAACTATTAACAGACATGTAAAACATATGATGTCTATATTGTGACATGCCAAAACCATGGAAATGATGGCTTGGTATAAAATGTAAAGCCACCAGCTTTGAACAGTTACTAAGCAGACTGAAACGTTAGGACTTTACAGGTAATCCTTCACCTTGAATCAGACTTGGGCCCAATTTCAGTTGTTGAGTGAAGCAGTTGTTAAGCAAACACCATGTCACCCCTTTGCTCCATGATGACAATCCTAACTCTCCCAGTCGTGGTCATTAAGTGACTACAGAGGTTGTTAACTGGAGGAGAGCCTGGGCTTCCTGGGAATGATGGGGTGGGATAGGGCAGAGGCTTCCCATTACACCCAGGCGTCCTGGTCTTGATCCCCATCCCACGGGGAGAACAGTGGTGCATACTGTTGTGTCCTGGGCCTGAAATGTTGCAAATGGTCCCGGGTAACCTAAAAGCTGCCCGGGACCAGACTGGTTGGCGCCGGTCTTGTGCACACAATCAAGGTGCAAAAAAGGGGGTTTGTGATTGGATGGTTTGGGAGACTATAAAAGGCCTGCACGCCTGTTTGTTTGCTGAGTGGTACAATGGAACAAATAAAGAAAGAACTTGGTTAACAACTCGTGCTTTGCTTCAATGCCGCGAACCCCAATATGTAAAACATACTATGGTTTTCCAAGATTTGAGGTCCATTCCTACAGCATGCTGAAGGATTTCCTGTCTTGGGAACATTCATTAAGCAATATTTGCCTTTTGATGTTTTGTAACATTAGACATGAAAAATATTTATTTTTATTTTTCTTTAGGAAGGTGTAGGGTTTCCTGCCCGAGCAGGGGGTTGGACTAGATGACCTCCAAGGTCCCTTCCAACTTTACTACTATTATTATTATTATATACATGCCTAGATATTTCTGGTAATCTATGGTTATATATAAAGTTTGTCTTTTTGACTTTTAAAAATATGCCTGCAACCACTCTGCTGAGTTATGGATTAAGACAACTCCTTCATACAGTTTCCAAGCCACACAAATAAGGGAGTTTCTTCACTAGTTGCTGAAGCATTTTTACAAAAATGAATTATATATAAATTGACACTCAGTCTTCCATTCACATTCTCCAAGATGCACATGACTGCTGGTCATGGTTGGCAGAAGAATGATGTTAAAGAAGGAATAAAGTCATACTTACTGTGCAGTATCCTTGCATGCCACTCAGCTGCCAGTGCCAAAAATTGCTTTGGCTTGTCCCATTCTTGGCTATTTATATCTTCTGGCAGATTGCCAATTTTTTTCCATACGACAAGTATTGCATTGTAGACATATAACAGAAACAAAAAACACACAAGGGGATAATATAATATTATCAGAATCCCTATCAAAGTTAAGGGATATAACATAAAGCCTGCATATTCTTTCAAAGTGCAACTTGACCAGATGACAAATTCATTTCCTAAGGTATAATATATATTTTCCACAGTCATGTCTGAAATCAGACTATATAAGGAGAATCCATTCACAAATAAAGTATTTCTTCCTGGAAAAGAAAAATAAACATATAAATATACTTTATTATGAGCTCTGGGAAGAGAGCAGAATATCAGGATGGCAATGCATACATGGTAATAAGACTTTCAAATAGCTTTAGGGAGAAGATTGGGCTGAGATGGTTAAAAAAAGTCAAGCTTAGTACAATCAATCAGATTATTGATCTTTTAATCACACATTATTGGTATGGAGAGGCCTTCTTTTTAACCAACCAAGAAAGAAAAGGTTTAAAAATGACAAGCCAGATGTCTGTTTAGAAGGAAGTCCAGGACTTGTTGCTTATTGTGCATATAGGACAATTCTGGACATCCTGTTTAAAATCAGGCAAACCTTTTCTTCCTTGGTGATGACCATTCTTTTCCTTAAACTTCACAGCCCTTTATTTTTATTAAAAATTTTCATTAAACTAGAAAATACCCAATTCCAGCAGCCGTTCCTTATATGTTTTAGCCTCCAGTCCCCTAATCATCTTTGTTGCTCTTCTCTGTACCTTTTCTAGAGTCTCAACATCTTTTTTACATCGTGGTGACCAAAACTGGATGCAGTATTCCAAGTGTGGCCTTACCAAGGCATTGTAAAGTGGTATTAACACTTCATGTGATCTCTATCCCACTGTTAATACAGCCTAGCACTGTGTTGGCTTTTTTGGCAGCTGCAGCTTACTGCTGGCTCATATTCAAGTGATTGTCCACTAGGACTCCAAAGTCCCTCTCACAGTTACTACTATTGAGCAAGGTACCCCCTATACTATACCTGTACATTTGTTTTTTCTTGCCTAAATGTAGAACTTTACTTTTTTCACCATTGAATTTCATTTTGTTAGATAGCGCCCATTGTTCAAGTCTGTCCAGATCCTCCTGTATCTTAAGCCTGTCTTCTTAAAATTGTTTTAAAAATGAGCATTTGTTATAAACATGATATTCTAAACCTTATGAATTTGGAAGTGGGGGGGGGAGAAATGTGTATGGAGTCATCCAGGAGCAGATGCCCAAACAGCCACATAAGTGTGGAAAAAGGCACCACTCCTTTAATGGATCAATATAAGCAATGGTGGGATTCAGCTGGTTTGCATTGGTTTGGTAGAACTGATAGCTAAATGTTGTTGAATTCAGAGAACTGGCTAAATGCACACTGCTTCTGGAAGTCTGTTCTATACCTCGGAGGCTTGGAGGAGGCCTTCCAGCTTAGAACGGCCCACCTGAAGTGCATGGATGCCACTTCTGGAACTCCATTCTAGGCCTCGGAGGCCCAGGCCTGCATCCCTGCAGAGAACTGGTTGTTCAGGTATTTGAATCTCACCACTGAATATAAGTGCTTCATACTGGCTTTATTTAAGGACTTCCACAACATCACAGACTAATGCACAATAAGATAAAGAATAGCTTGTCTCACAATCTATCAATAGGGAAACTCTGATTTGCTGACACAATGAATATTTCCTCTCTTTGTTTTCTGTAAGCTCAAAGAACTTCTAGCAGAAGACAGATAGAAGTAAAAGAATATTCCATGTACTCTGACAACTGGTATCACTATAGCCTCTCTTCTTGGCTTTGGCTATAAATGAAAGGAAAATAGCAGTAATATTTCAGATTCTTTAGGTATTTGAGGAGCCTCTTCAGAAAGTCAATAAAATCTTGGAATAATATTCAGTTTTCTGCAAAATGATTCTACAGCACTTCATCTGATGAAAATGGATAATTCAACTGAATTTCTTTCAGAATGAAGGTATAATTTATATATTAATATCCCTTCACCAGCCAACCTTTCTGCAATAAAAATATTACTCTCAATTCAGAATCAAAGCATTAATGTAGAAGTCCCAAAGCTTATAAACAACCCACACATTATTGCTTAAAAATAGAAAGGAAGCCTCTCCTTTTACCTGCATGTCACAATCCTTACCTCTTTCAAACAGCTTGCTTGGAAAATCAGTTTTACTTTGATGTAATGTGCTTTTAAATGAATAGATGTTCCATTCTCCTCCCTCAGAGGGTGGAGTGAGAACAAACTCAATTCAAATAAATCATGACCTTGAATTAACCATCTTTTTAGCTAATGCCAACTGACACTCATTTTTAACTGAAGAACAAACAGTTTAAGAAATGAGAATTAAGTCTGCTCTAACTGTTTAATCATCCTCAGGTGACTCTTTGTTTTGTATTCTCCTGAGGCTGACATTCCACTTGGTTCAGCAGGAGCAGCTTCATCTGTGTCTGTCCTGGACCATGATACCTTTTGGAGTCTATAATCTGATCCAATCTAATCCAATGCAGGGAGAGCATGTGTGACTTCCATCCACAAAGGAATATCATCTGATGGGACCCAGGATAAGAGTATTTTGCATTGTGGCATCTGCCCTTTGGAATTTCATCTCCCTGAAGACTGGAGCAGACTTCTCCAGAACATATGAGGGACCATATGTGTCTCTGGTTCGGCTATGATTGCATAGGCGTTCTTATATGTCAGCATATTTTAACATTTTCCACTTGAATGTGTCTTTCTTTCCCCCACTTCCCAGCAGGAAGTCAGAATCAATCGGTATGCAGGGTGGTCTCCTCTGCAAAACATGCACTTGGGATTTGGGAGGTATTTGCATTGGTTTGTCTGCAGCTCTTTGCAAGTTCTGCTTATCCATCAGGCCCTTTTCGGCATAGGTATGTGGCAATGGCTACTGGCAATTGCACTACTCTAAATCAGTCTAGCGTCAGATTGGGTCCAATTCTGTGGCCTACCAGGAGGTCCTGAAGACATGGTTTTGCCACTTAGCCTGGGCTTTGCAAAAGTGTATATGGAAGTTGCAAAGTGGCTGCATTGGTAGAGAAATTGAGTGCACCATGCCAAAATTATGTGGATTTAAAAGAAATGTGTTGTTTTAAAATGATTTTTGTTGTAATGCTTGTGGTGATTGTTGTTATATGTTTTTTTTTAAATTTTCTATGCCACTGAAAGTTATATAGGTGATATGGACAGCTAAATAAGCTTAGCAAATCAATCAATCAATAAATAAAGAAAAGGAAAAAGAACCTTGGTAGCATAAATAGGAAGACCCTCCACTGAAGCCCTTTTATCCGTAAAAAGGGAAAGAGCTGGAGACAATAGCTGACTGGCATGTAATGGAGCAACATGTTTGACTGGAAGAAATAGCTACAGTTCTGTACAGCTGCTGTCTTGTTTTATTGTGCAGATCTCCTAGCTGATCTATTCCTTTACCAACTCATTTTGACAGTACCACTGTTGAACTCCAGACAGATTGAGATAGCAAGCAGCACAAGTAGATCGGTTACTTCACTGTGCAGGTAGCCACCTGGATTCTGCTAGTTGCAGGCGAGCTGTGGGGTTGATCACTAGCTGGTAGTCCTTCTCTACCTATTATCTCCTCCCACTGGTGACAGAGGTGCTTTCCTGCTTTCACCTCAAAGAATCAGGAGGTCAGTTCAATAGCCCATTAACCGTATTCCCTGACTAAATTTCCCCTCTTTTCCCCCCATATATCATTGTTCAAAATAGCAAATTACTACTATTTGGAACTAGGAAGTTGCACATGTTCCTTTGTTCAGCAGAAAGGTGGAATAATCTGGCAGCAAGCATAAAAATTACTATTATAATACTAATACAAATATAGGAAAAGATATTGTTATGTATTAAGCAATTCAAAGGGTCTGTTATGAATAACCGTAAACTGATTGCTTTATTTGAATCATAGACTGTCTTTATAACTTTAAGCCTTGTGTTTTAGGTGGGAATGAGTACTTTAAACTGATTGGCCGCCGCCTAGTGGAGGTCCATATAAATATATGTCAAGCAGCTACTATAGCTTTGCTTCTGTGTGAACCTAATAAAGAGCTGTTAATTCAACTCCATGTCTTCAATGCCTCGCTGTTCCCACTACACAACAGATATTTAAAAAACAAACAATAGGACATGTTTATAATAAGTTTTTATCCCATCAGTTAACCCCAATTAGAGTGAAATACTCTGTCCTGTTTGAAATGGCTTTTGAAATGAAGAGTACAACCCATATGAGGGTTCCTTCCCTGCAAAAAGTAAGACATATACCTGGCTGCCCTGGTATTTTTTAGTTTTTAAGTAAAAATCTAAGTAAGCAGCCCTTTCTGCAGAGTACAGCTTGCAGTCAAAAAAGAATGTGTTCAATGTCTTCAGTGGCTGGGATTCCACAAATGTAGCCTTTCTTCAAGTGGAACTTCAGTTATATACCTTTCTGATTGGAATTGGAGAACTTAAGTAGCTATTGGGTCTCCTAATTGTGCCTGAATGTCTTCGAGTTGCCACTTGGAGTTCATCCATTGTTCAATGGTGTCTTTCTTATCTTCTTCCAATTGGTGCACACTTTCGGGAGAGGGCTCTTCCTGAGGCCCTTGGTAGAGTTGGAATAATTTCCTCCAGTGTCTTTCATGGTACCTGTAGTGCAACTCCCATCTTTCCATCAGATGTGAGTGCATGGCTTCTGTAAGCTATCTTTGTTGCCTCAGGTCATAGGGCACCTGAGATGTCCTTGGCCTCACTGAGGCTTGAGCATCAGCCTCTGTGTACAGGTCAAGGTTGGCTGTTTGCAACATTTCTCCTTGACCAGTTGGTTGGGGTGTCTCATCTAGGCTGGTTGGTTGAACCCCTTCTTCTAGATCAGTGGTTCTTAACCTGAGTGATATTGCCCCCCAGGGGGCAATTTCATTTTTCAGGGGGGCAATGGAATGAAAAGGGGTGACACGGGGGCAAAGGAACGAAAAGGGGGCAATATGAGGGCGATGGAGCGAGACGATTTGGGGACACTTTTGAGACTTTTTCGTACAGTGAATCGCTGTATATCTGTCGTACAAAAACATCAGATCACTCGCTATTAGTGGATTGAATTGTGTTTTCAAATGTTCCTCCAGCTAGCTTCACTACAGAATGCCGTACATATGTGAATACGCATCGCTTATCTTCATTCGCGTTGTGCAGCAGCCTCTACCCATATAGTGGCATGCCATTGGCCAGAATATGGGAGATATGGGGAAAAGACTTGAAATAAATTATTTGCATCGATATGTCCTGATGACAATTTTAAAGAAAACAAAAAAGTGTTTGCATAAATTGAAGAATTATTTCCTATGCTGTGACTGAGAGGTTATGTTGGGGGAGGGAGGCAATGACAACTTCCTGATTGGCTCAAGGGGGCAATTTGTTCAAAAAGGTTAAGAACCACTGTTCTAGATCAATGGGACACCCTGCCATGGCTAGGACAGGTTCAGTAACTTCCTAGCTATTTTGAAGCAAATTTGATGAACTTTTCTTTTTGACCGCTAGGGGTTGCTACTTGCAGATCAGCTACTGGGATGCCATGGCTAGGACAGGTTCAGTAACTTCCTAGCTATTTTGAAGCAAATTTGATGAACTTTTCTTTTTGACTGCTAGGGGTTGCTACTTGCAGACCAGCTACTGGGATGCTGCCTGTGGATAGAGGCACCACTGGGTGCTTTCTCCTATGTTCGTGGGTACTTCAGCGCAATTCACCCTTTCACCACTAGGAGTCACTTCCTGCAGGTTGGTTACCAGGGTGCTTTTCCTTCGAGGTTCACCCTTTGTCCACTAGAGGGCTTTCTTTGTGCATGATTAAAGGCTTGCGTATAGTTCCTCCTTTAACCACTAGGAGGAATCTGGAGATAGGCTAGCAAAAGTTCTTCTTACTACCATGTTATCTTGTAGTGGCCACTGGGAGAATGCTGAGCTTCCACAGCTCCTACAAACTCCCACCTGGTCATTAGGTTGCAAGCTGGGGACTCCTTGGTTAATTGCTGCCTTTTCTTCTCAATTTGCTCTCAGCACAGTCACCACTAGAGGTGACTGCTTGAGTGAGTGATTACTTCGGGTGAAGTTCATTCTATGCCCTCTAGGGGGTGTTGGTGGCTTTGGATGAATTTAGGTAACTTGCTCTTTAACTATCAGATTCACTCTGCGTAGTTAGAAAATTGCATTCAGTGATGTAGTTAAAAATTGCATTCAGTGAAGTACCTTCTTTTCCCTCTAGAGGGTGTTGTTAACTTGGCTTGGTGTAAGCCTGCTATGTGCTGAATTAATTATCAAGTTGTCATGAGACCAGACGGAAAAATTGCTTAAAAGTGTAATGTGCAGATTGGCCACCAGGGGATGCTGCTGCACTGCTATTGGAGCCTCTGAACACTTTCACTTTCCATTGACATAGCTGGAATTCCAAGGGGAGGGGTAATTTAGACTTCTCCTCTCATGTTGCTGAGTTACCATGATGACAAATGGTTTTATTGTTTGGCAGCTGGGGCCAGAAAGGAGGAGGTTGGTTAAGAAGGAAAGCAAAATTCCTTTCGAATTTTTTTAGCCTGCTTTGTTTTGAAATTCCCCAAACAAGGTTTCTTGCCACTAACAACTTCTGCAGATTTGTAGAACACAGCCTTTAACAACATCAGTCTGAATTAGTACTTTGCAACAGGCATGGCAAAAGTACATGTTTTGGTTGCAGACAAAGAAGAGTTGGCTGCTCCAACTCTTTTGATCTTAGAAATACAGCTTTTACATGCAAGAATCCTTACAATGCGATGCAATAGGCAGGAACGTTTGAAGAGGCTCGATTGTATCCAACAACTTCTCATCTCATGTAGCAAGACATAAGGCTCATTCTAAACTCAATTTGCAGATAAACTTCCAATTTTACTTTTTTCACTCTAAGTCCTGATTTTACAGTTAGCTGCTAGCAAATCTTCAAAGCAGTCACTTTATAGCATTACTTATTGCAAGCTACCAGGCATAGGAGACTTCTTGCAGAGTTAAAGGAAATTAGCAATACAATGCATCAGGCAGAAACGCTTGGGGGAGGGAGGTTTCACCCAAATCACATCTTCCCTTTTAAACGCTGGCTGACAAGCAAAGTGCTTTCTTTAAGGCTGAAGTTAATATGAAGGCAGATATATGATTTTACTTTTCTCACAAGCCTTGAATTTACTTTTCTTCCTTTAAAGCTGATATAGACAAAATGTATAATTTCTCACTGTTCTGACCCAGAGTTAAGATGCTTTCTAAAAGCGGGTCAGACAGATAAACTCAATAAGAATGATTACAAAACAGATATATATTTATTCAGAAATACTTGCATTTATGGTGGTTGCTTCTGGATATTACACATCTGTTCATTCCTATAGGTGAGAAATTAATGCTTCCTCCATACCACTTCTATAACTTGGATTGGAGCCATCAGAGACATGCGATGACCCCATGCTTTCTCAGACAAAGTCATTCCAAACTGGCTCGTGTCCAGGAAGTCCTGCAATGTCCTTTAGAAACTCCTCCCACTGACCTACTAATATGATATAGCTGACTAGCTAAAACTACCTTACCCATAAGCCATCTCTTAAGGAGACAGCACTTAACCCAATAAATGCCAACATTCTAACATACAGACATACGTGGTCCAGAACAAGCCCTTTCTGCCGAGTACAGCTTGCAGTAAAAAAAGAATGTATCCAATGTCTTCAATGGCTGGGACTCCACAAATGGAGCCTTCCTTCGAATGGAATTTCAGTTATATATCTTTCTGGTTGGAACTGGAGAACTTAAGTAGCTATCGCTGGTAAGCTGTGTTATAGTTTTGGCATAAGTTGTAGCCCTTAAATAAATCCTTTTAAGATGTGGGGGCCAGGAACCTGTTTCTGTGAAAAGAAGCCCTAAGTATAGATACGACTTGATTTGATCATAATGATCCCTATCCCAGGTTCCAATTATACTTAGCCTGCTTCTTCCTTAAAACAGTTACCTTAGTTTTGGACTTATTGAATCTAGGTAGTTGAATCCACAATATGAAACACACACCTGGATAGCAGTGTTCTGATCCCTAATTGGGTGTATGACATAAATAGCCTATCAACTGCATAAAACAGCATTTTAACAGGTTTAATTTTAACTTTGGGCATAGGCATATCAGTAGAATGAAGGGACTTTGGGATATCTCTAATATACAGATTTAAAAAATGAGAGCCAGTATATATCCTTGTCTGATTCCTTTATTGGTACTAATTTTCTCTGTCAGGGCATTATGCAGTCCTATGTAATTATGCATTACTGTTAGGCATGCGTTTGAATATAATGTCCTGATTAAAAGGGACATCTGTGGACCATGTTCAAGTCCATTAGTTTCTTCCAAAGAGGGATCCTGTTTGTTGAAATAAATGCTGCACTGAGGTCTATAAATGTTGTAAACAGCTGACTCCCTTTAACTGCATATTGTTCTATTGAATGATATAAAATATCATATAATAGCTATATAGATGCTATATAGAATTCCTATAGTCTTAAATTTGCCTGAATTTATTCATAGCTATGTTATGATTAAAATATTTACTACTACGCACTTTTATTTCTTTTTTCTTCATTGCTAGATCAGGATATATCACAAAATAGACATCTCTATATTTCTATGCCAGGCAGAGGAAAAATTCACAGACACTACTACTAAAGTGTAATGTGATTTATCTTTTTTGAGAATTGTAATATCAATGCATCCACTAAGGCTGTATATGAATCAAACTGCTGTGTTCTGGCAACAAATTTCAATTAACAATTCTGTCTGAAGATCATGTATGTATAGAAGCAATGATGCATTTTTTATTTGATTTTGAATAAGATCAAAGGACATAGACTTCCATTTACTTATCTAAATCTTAAGAGTTTAAAATTTTTGAACAGCTAAGATATTTTCATAATTTATACAGTATTGTGTTCATTCATAAATCATAACTTAGTAGTCAAACAATATGCCAAAAGGAAGAATTTTTTGTTTAACTATGGAAATAAAGTTACAGAGCAAAAGATGAGTGTAGATGAAGACGGTAATAATTAATCATAAAACACCTTGCTAAATTGGGAAATAACAATTGGAGGGAGAATAAATTAGAGCTCTTCCTGCATTTATCTTGGAAATATGAAAGAAAATTGCATACTGAAAACAAAGTATAAGAATTGCTTAATAAAATTAATATCTATAGAGTGATTGTAATCTTTAAGATGTATTGCCCCAGATCTAAAGGCATCAAATGCGTCAGATAGTATGTAAATGGGATTTTTTTTTCCTGCAGGCACATTTCCACCAAGGAACAACTTTTCTTCCTGTCTACAACAGCATGCCCCACCTGCCAGTGTCAGATACAAACCTCCAACCTGCACAGTTGTTTGGAAACAGTTCAAGAAAGTGGGCGAAAAATGATACAGCTCATGATCACAGATGCACACTTCAGTTTAAACAAATATCTCCACATCATAGTAAACTTAAAGGAAGAGTTGGAACAGACCATCTCATCAGAGCACATGGAGAGACTGGTCACCATCATCATGAGTACTTCCCAGAGAAATGATGGAAAAAGAAAAAACAAATTGCAAAGCAAATTCCTTAAACTCAATTCCAGAACCAAAGAAACATCAGAGACTGAATAAGTGGTCCACTTGTTCAACCACCCACTATCAATTGCAGAACACAGGATTCTACAGAAAGGATTCAACTATAATACAGGTGATGCTAATCATCTGGAAATCTTGGCAGCCCTAGAAGGAGCATTCAAAACTACTGGACTTTTCACAGAGGTCCAAGAAAATATCAGACAAACCATCATTCCACACACCAGAAGAATACAAGAACAGAATCAATTTATCACAGAAGACAAACCAGCCCTCAAAAACCTAAAAAAGGACCAGACTGTCATCATCCTACCTGTGGACATAGACTGAACAAGGTTATTATGGACGTAGCACAATATTTACAAAAATCAAAAGAAATATTGTTGTTGTTGTTAATTGCAAAGTTGTGTCCAACCCATCGCGACCCCATGGACAACGTTCCTCTAGGTCTTCTTGTCCTCTACCATCTTCTGGAGTCCATTTAAGTTCACACCTACTGCTTCAGCTACCTCATTCTCTGTCGTCCCCTCCTTCTATTGCCCTCAATCTTTCCCTTCTCCAGTGAGTCTTTCCTTCTCATTAGGTGGCTAAAGTATTTTGAGTTTCAACTTCAGGATCTGGCCTTCTAAAGAGCAGTCGGGGTTGATCTCTTCTAGGACTGACCAGTTTGAATGCCTTGCAGTCCAAGGGATTTGCAGGAGTCTTCTCCAGCACCATAATTCAAAGGCCTCAATTCTTTGTCAGTCAGCCTTTCTTATGGTCCAACTTTCACATCCACACAGTGCAACTGGGAAAACCATGGCCTTGACTATACACACTTTTGTTGGCAGGGTGATGTCTCTGCTTTTTAGTATGCTGTCTAGATTTGCCATAGCTTTCCTCCCCAGGAGCAAGTGTCTTTTAATTGCTTGGCTGCAGTCCCCATCTGAGGTGATCTTGGAGCCCAGGAAAATAAAATCTGTCACTACCTCCATTTCTTCCCCATCTATTTGCCAGGAATTGAGAGGGCCAGATGCCATGACTTTGGTTTTCTTAATGTTGAGTTTCAAGCCAACTTTTGCACTCTCCTTCTTTACCCACATCAAGAGGCTCTTTAGTTCCTCTTCACTTTCTGCCATTAGAGTGGTATCATCTGCATATCTTAGGTTGTTGATATTTCTCCTGGCAATCTTAATTCCAACTTTTGATTCATCTAGCCCTGCCTTTCTCATGATGTGCTCTGCCTATAAGTTAAATAGGCAGGGCGACAGTATACAGCCTTGCCGGACTCCTTTCCCAATTTTGAACCAATCAGTGGTTCTGTGTCCAGTTCTCACTGTTGCTTCTTGACCCACATATAGGTTTCTCAAGAGATAAATGTCTGGTACTCCCATCTCTTTAAGAACTTGCCACAATTTGTTGTGATCCACACAATCAAAGGCTTTAGCATAATCAATGAAGCAGAAGTAGATGTTTTTCTGCAACTCCCTCGCTTTCTCCATGATCCAGCGTATATTGGCAATTTGATCTCTAGTGCCTCTGCCTCTTCAAAATCCTCCCTGTACTTCTGGTAGTTCTCGATCCACATACTGCTGGAGTCTAGCTTGTAGGATTTTAAGCATAACTTTACTAGCACGTGAAATGAGTGCAATGGTGCGATAGTTTGAACATTCTTTGGCATTGCCTTTCTTTGGAATTGGAATGTAAACTGACCTTTTCCAATCCTGTGGCCACTGTTGAGTTTTCCAAATTTGCTGGCAAATTGAGTGTAGCACCTTTACTGAATCGTCTTTTAAGATTTTGAATAGCTCAGCTTTAATACTGTCACCACCACTAGCTTTGTTGTTGCTCAAATTTCCTAAGGCCCATTTCACTTCACATTCTAGGATGTCTGCCTCAAGGTCAGTGACCACCCCATCATGGTTATCTGGGATGTTAAGCTTGTTCTTGTATAGTTCTTCTGTGTAGTTTTGCCACCTCTTCTTAATCTCTTCTGCCTCTGTTAGGTCCCTGCCATTTTGGTCCTTCATCATGCCCATCTTTGCATGAAACGTTTCCTTCATATCTCCAATTTTCTTGAAGAGACCTCTGGTCCTCCCTATTCTGTTGTTTTCTTTTATTTCTTTGCACTGTTCATTTAAGAAGGTATTCTTATCTCTTCTAGCTATTCTCTGGAATTCTGCATTCAATTGGGTGTATCTTTCTCTTTCTCCTTTGCCTTTCGCTTCCCTTCTTTCCTCAGCTATTTGCAAAGCTTCCTCAGACAGCCATTTTGCTTTCTTGCATTTCTTTTTCTTTGGGATGGCTTTTGTTGCTACCTCTTGTACAATGTTGTGAACCTCCGTCCATAGTTCTCCAGGCACTCTATCTATCAGATCTAATTCCTTAAATCTATTTTGTCACCTCTACTGCATATTCATCAGGAATATGATTTAGTTCATACCTGAGTGGCCTAGTGTTTTTCCCTACTTTCTTCAATTTAAGCCTAAATTTTGCAATGAGAAGCTCATGATCTGAGCCACGGTCAGTTCCTGGTCTTGTTTTTACTGACTGTATAAAGCTTCTCCATCTTTGGCTGCAGAGCTCATAGTCAATCTGATTTCTATGTTGGCAGTTTGGTGATGTTCATGTGTAGAGCCATCTCTTGGGTTGTTGGAAAAGAGTGTTTGTTATGACCATGGTATTCTCTTGACAAAATTCTATCAGCTTATGCCCTGCTTCATTTTGTATTCCAAGGCCAAACATGCCTATTATTCCAGTTATCTTTTGGCTTCCTACTTTAGCATTCCAATCCCCCATGATGATAAGGACATCATTTTTTGGTGTTAATTCTATAAGGTGCTGTAGAGCTTCATAGAACTGGTCAATTTTATCCTCTTCAGCACCAATTGTTGGGGCATAGATTTGGACTACTGTGATATTGAATGGTTTGCCTTGGATTCGAACTGAGATCATTCTGTCATTTTGGGGATTGTATTCCAGTATTGCTTTTCCTATTCTTTTATTGGCTATGAAGGCTACTCCATTTCTTCTGAGGGATTCTTGCCCGCAGTAGTGTACCTGATGGTCATCTGAGTTAAATTCACCCATTCCTGTCCATTTTAGTTCACTGATTCCTATGAATTCAATGTTCATCTTTTGTTTGACTACATCTAGCTAGCCTTGATTCATGGATCTTACATTCCAGGTTCCTATGGAGAAAAGATCTTTACAGCATCGGACTTTCCTTTCACCACCAGATATATCCACAGCTGAGCGTCCTTTCAGCTTTGGCCCAGTTGCTTTATTCTTTCTGGCGCTACTAGTACTAGCCGTCTGCTCTTCCCCAGTAGCATTTTGGACACCTTCCAACCTGAGGGGCTCATCTTGAATAAAAAAACCTAGACAACCAGATTAAGACAATCCTCAGAGTCCTCAGAATTTGGCTAAGAAAGGCCAAATTACCAAAGAGAAATAGTGATGGATGTGTAACAATGGACCCATCCTCTCACACTTCTAGGAAGACCCTGTCAGAGCATGCACAGTCTTATTGTGCTGAGATAACCAAGCAGTAAACATAGTAAATGTGGTTTATATTACAATATCTACAAATATACACTAGGAACAAAATACATACATTTGGCCATTCAGCAAACTCCAATACACAGCAATTACAGCAAGAAACAGATGAGAGAGAAAGCCTTCTCTTTTATACTCAAGCTCTTAAAGGGATACAGACTCCTTCTGTGTCATTCCTAATATTGCATCATTAATCTCACATTATATAAGCTGGTTAGCTTCTAAATCATTATCTTGACACTCCTTCCATTTAAAGCTAAACAGCTGTTAACACAAATGCTTTTACATTTACATTTGCTTACATTAAAGCTTATTATCGGCTTGAACAATTGAACAATTTTTCTCTGTGTACATTCCTGCCTTATACTGCAGTTCATTATTGTGTCCTTCTGTTTATCATTTTTTTACCTGAGCAACAATAACATTTCTTGGTAATTATGGGGTTCATACCTTATACTATATGCTCTAACCCCACTTGCTGTGAACTGATCAGGAGGTATACCTTTATTGCTATGTTCATACCACCTCAGGTCATCTGTTCCTGAGTTTCTGTTACTTCTCTTTTTTATCTCAGGTCTATACTCTTCTATTCCTGCTTTTTTTAACCTGCTATCCTGTTCTTTCTTCATTGGGTTTTGTGTAGCCTCTCCTTTCTGAGAACTAATGCTACTTGTTGGCATGAACAATTCAGTGTTAGCATGCACCCTGTCCCAATTATTTTGCTTTGCAAAATTAGCAGACCTTGATATCACAACTTTCCTTGTTCCATCTGAAAATCTCTATCCCTTGGAACCTGGCTCATATCCCACAAACCTAAGTTTCCTGGCCTTTTTCTGTCCTTTTCTTCTGGTGCCTTTGGGAATATGCATCTAGGCATAACTGCCAAATGTCCTTAGGTAAGCCAATGAAGGTTTCCTTTCATACAACATGTAATACGGAGTTTCATTTATAGCTACACTCTATACTGTTTCCTAAATAGTTGGCTGTTTTTATGGCTTCTCCCCAGTATGTGTTACTCATTCCTGCATCTGCCAGCAGTGAGTCCTTCATGGTCTGCAATATACCATTTTTCCTTTCAGCCACTCCATTTTCTGCTGGTGTGTGACGGTTTGTACTTCTATGCCAGGGCTTTTCAACCTTTTCAGAGATTGTAACACTTTTAGGACATGATAATATTCGAGTACCATCAGCAGGGTGTCAAAAACTTGATGACTTAAAAAAAGAGGGGGTGATTTCGGGCTTTACTGGTTAGATTCATTTGTTGTTATAGAAATGGCTAGTTTATAATATTATGGAAAAGTAAAAAGTTGAAGTTTTGTGTTAATGTTTCCTTCTACTGCAACAGAGGAAGTTAGAAGTCAATGCCTTTTCTTTTTCCCTTCTCCCCCTCACTTTCCCCCCCTTTTTCCTCCCCAGTGCCCTACTATTTGCTTTTGTATTTTATTCTATAATAAAATGTTACAAACTGTAAAGAAAAAAGTAAAAAAGTACCGGTTTTAATTTCTTCGGTGGCAGTTCCTTTACTAAATCACTTTCCCTTTGCACTGAGAAATATGACAAATTTATTCATGTTTATTAATATGCACCACTACCTTGGTGATCAGCTGGCTGGTTGGCCCTCTCTCTCCTCTTTTTTATTCCTCCCTGCCACCTTCCTTCCAGAGTGTAGTAAGAATGCACACACCCCAGTCCCTTCACTGTACCCCTAAAGGCACAGGAAAGAAAGACTCACAAAAGCTGCCCAGAATAAAGAAACACTAACTCTGGGTTTTTTTCTTCAAGCTGACAAAAAATAGCTTCAGCTGTTCCTCAGTTTAAACAATGCAATTGCGAAAGATGATAACCTTAAATTAAGCCTGATTACCTACAAAGAAAACTTGCTAAAAGCCATAGACTAGCGGTTCTCAACCTGTGGGTTGCGACCCCTTTGGGGGTCAAACGACCCTTTCACAGGGGTCGTCTAAGACCATCAAAAAATACATATTTCCGATGGTCTTAGGAACTTAGTCTAAGATACGCGGCGGTGTTCTTTTGCATCTCGATGGCTGCATCCACCTTGGAATCGGGGAATGGCTTTAAACAAAGGCTCTCTGTGCAGTCCCAGATGTCCTTCAGCTGAATCGAACAGGAGCTCTTTTTCCAGGGAAGCCTCTTCGCAGCCGAGCTGGTCTCTCCTCGTATTCTGTGGAGGAGTTGGCACGATATTGCTCGGCTTTGCCCCACAAACCATGGAAGGTCAGTTTAGTCCGAATGCTTCCCAGGTGCAGGAAGGCACCGAGTGGTGCTAACCGGAGTCAGAAACTTCCTCCAATGCCCCGATCGCTAATTCTAATGGGCTCAGTGGGAATCACCTGCGCTAGATGGGAACAGCAAGTCCGGGGGGGGGGAGCAGAGGACTGCCTGCAGGGGAGGAGTTTGCAACCCTTCTGAGACTGCCCATCTGGTAGGCAGCCAAAGCAGCCGCAGCTCCAGTAGTCTTCGCCTGAAGAGGTGAGAGGCAGCCCCACAGAACAGCCCTTCCCCTCCTGCCACCGATTCTCCTGCCCACTGTTCCCCCACCTACCCCTGCTGAGTTCTGCCCTGTAAGAAAGTCCCGGATTCTGTGTGGGCCTAGCAGAGCCAACCGGAAGGGAAAGCCATTGATCTTCATTCAGGCAGGCCCGAAGTTCTCTGAAGGACGTTCAGTTTCATTCTGGCTCAGGGGAGCATCACTCCCTCAGGTAGGATCGTGATTTCCGGCAAGCAGCCAGTTATCAAAGCCCAGCTTCCTCCTATCCCCCTATTGCCCTGTGCGCACATCTCCCCAACTCTGAGCCCCCTCCTCTCTTCCATCCTTTACTTCTTGCCCTGTAGTGTGGTTGGTGCTCTCCGCTTTTCCTCAATGGTTAAAGACAACTTTGCTCACTCAGAGCTTTTTCCTCTCTTCCCACGGCAGCTGATTTCCTCCACCCACCCTCTCCTCCTCTGTGATCCCTGCAGCCCTCCATAAGACAGCACATACTTTTTGATTCCTGCTGCTCAATCCCTCCTCTTCCTCCCTCTTGATGGCTTCCTACTTGTGAGATGCAGGGGAAGGGGGCGCCATTTCATTATAAATGAGCCGAGGTGGCACAGCAGTTAGAATGCAGTATTGCAGGCCACTTTAGCTGACTGTGTTCAGCAGGTCAGCGGTTCAAATCTCACCGGCTCAAGGTTGACTCAGCCTTCCATCCTTCCAGGGTAGGTAAAATGAGGACCCAGATTGTTGGGGGCAATGTAAATATATATATATATATATATATATATATATATATATATATATATACATTGCCCAAAGTTTCTTTTTTTATTTCAAATGATATCTATTTTAAAGAATGAGGTTAATTTAAATGAATGGCAGAAAGGTATTAACAAATTTATCTGGGCAGGGAAAAAACCAAGAGTAAAACTTAAAATTATACAAGATATTCGTGAGAGAGGTGGACTCAAGGTACTGAATTTGAAATTGTATTATGATGCTGTGGTTTTAACATTAATAAGTGACTGGGTTAATTTAACAAATGTAGAAATACTCCTCTTGGAGGGTTGGGATTTACTTTTTGGATGGCATGCCTATTTAATTTTTAATAAAAAGATTGATAGGGTTTTTAAATCTCATATTATAAGGATCTCTTTACTTCGGGTTTGGAGGAAATATTATAGAAGTGATTTTAAAATTCCACTATGGGCCATACCGGGGCATGCGATAGAAGGGATAAGGAGAGGAGTTAAGATGGATAGCGTTTCTTATGTACAATTACTTAGGTGGGATGGTAAAAACTGGCAATTAAAATCTTTGGAAGATTTAATACAAGAAAATATTATTTATTCATGGTTTCATTATAGACAAATAGTGGAGAGGTGGAAGATAGATCGTAATGTGGGTTTGCTTAGAGAAGATGAGAATTTATTAAAACAAATAAAAGATCAAAGACGAACCCATATTAAGAGAATCTATGGGGTATTAGTAGAATTGGACTCAGAAGCAGAATTAGTTAAAGAATGTATGGTCAAATGGGCATAAAATTTTGATGAACCGGTTTTATTAGATACCTGGGAAATTATTTGGGTGAGGAATGTTAAATTTACACAAGCCCAAAATTTAAGGGAAAATTTTTACAAAATGTTTTATAGATGGCACCTTGACCCACAAAAAATGTCTCGTATGTATCCTGACTTACAGCCTAAATGTTGGAGATGTGGATGTTTGGATGCTACTTATTATCATATTTGGTGGTTATGTAAAAATATAAAAGTTTTTTGGATTAAGATATGGTGGAATATCCAAAGAATTTTTAGAAGAAGGGTAAAATTTACCCCACAATTGTTTTTGTTAGGTATTGTTTCTGATTGTGATACTAAAGAGACTATATTGATGTTAAATTTAATTACAGCGGCAAGGTTGTTAGTAGGGCAATGTTGGAAGAAGGAATATTTGCCTACCTTGCAAGAGTGGTTTTTTTAAAGTTTCTTATTTGGCAGAAATGGCAAAGATTTCGGCTTTCTTGAAAGACCAATCGCAAGAGAAGTATTTTTTGGTATGGAAAAAATGGATAGACTTTATACAATATAAGTTGGATATAAAAAATATTATTTAACTTTTCAATAACTTATATTTAAAATTTAAGATATTTTATAGACTTTATAGACCTTAAAGCCACAGGACATGAAATTGACTTTAAAAATACCAGAACCATTGCCAAAAGTGAACATTTTAATAACAGAATAATCAGAGAAGCCATTGAGATAGAAAAACGCCCACACAGCATGAACAAGCGAGATGATACCTCCCACCTACCAGCCATTTGGAAACCCGCCCTTATTGACAAACAACTCCCTAACACAAAAAAATGATACCAGACCCACACTCACAAAAACCACACAGGATGTCACCACCACACATCCATGCAAAAAACAAACCCAAAGCCACACCGATGACGAGGCACGACCACAAACCAGAAGCCAGACCACAGCTGCATCATTATCCACTTTAAACCCCTCCAATCCATACATGAAGCAAACTGACACCCTCCATGAAGAGGAAGCACGACCACGAATGCGAAGCCAAAAAATAACAAGGCAGCCCAAAATCTAAAACCCCTCTGCAACTCAGACTAACCTGAGCACAACCAAACAGAACACTACCCCAGCCAATCAGAGCACAGCCAAGCCCCTAACCATTCAGAACACACCTCCACCCAATCAGAACACAGCCAAGCTCCCACCAAATCAGTTCATACCCCCACTGGCAGTTAAAAGGAATAAACAGCTAAGACCACACATTGCTGCTCAAAGCACGAAGCTGAAAGCACCAGCCTGAAGATGACGACTGGGACTTCGTCGAAACGTCGCCAAGACACTTCCAATTTTACGTGGGAGAAAACCCGAACAACCAAAGACCATATACACACATACATTGCTTACTGGTGTACACCGCTTAGAGAGTGCTTGCACTAAAAGCGGTATATAAGTCTCATAAATAAATAAATAAATAAATAAATAAATAAATAAATAAATAGGTGGGAGAAGGAAAACTGGTCCAGGCAGTGAAAAGGGAAGAGATCGGGGGGGGGGGCTTTGGAGATGAACACTGCTTTGAGTGGATGTTTTGGTCTGCAGCATGTATTTCCCTTTCACCTCCTGCCTGCCTTTTCTCTGTTTCCTAGTGTGCCTCTGGAAAGCCGGGAAGGGGGGGGGCAAAATGAATGTGCTCCTAGTATGGATCAAGAAGCTCCAAGGGGCCTTTTCTTGCAGTTGCTGCAGTAATGCCCCCCCATTCTTCCTACCCTGGCTGCTACACCAAAAGCAGTTGATTATTGCTCAGTGGAACCAGCAGTGGGGTGGGAGGAAGGAATGGATTTCCCTTCTGCTGCCTGTGCCTCAATGGACAAGTCCTTCTTCCAAAAATCTCTCCTAAGATTCTGGCAGGCACAGCTCCAGAACTGACTGCTGACTGAGCTGGGGTGGGGAACTGGGGGGAGAAAAGACTAGCTCAGGGTTAGGCAACCTTGGCTCTTTTATGACTCGTGGACTTACCTGGTATTTTAAAAATGTTTCTTATGATAATTTAAACTAGTTTAAAAGACAAAAAAAACCAAAGGGAGGATAAATATGTATTAGAACACATGTCATGTATTACATAACCATTACACAGAATATACTAAACAAAATGAAAGCATTTCTCATGTAAAATATTTTATATGACATAATTTGCACATTATGAAACAATATGAAACAATGTTTTCTCCTAGCATCACATCTCAGTTAGGTAAACTCAAACTCATTGCAGTCAATTAATCTCCATGCAGCCTATATATTACTGTGATAACCTGCTAGTCAGAATGAACAATTCTGTCACCTGCTTTGAAAAAAAAAATCAAGCTATATTATCTTTACAAAATTGCTACAGTCTAGTAAGGAGGTTATCTGAAAAATTATTAGATAAGGCAAGTCAAGTTTCTGACAATTATGTTTAATTATAAATCTCTTTATGTTCACAGTATATGTTCTAAAACTGTCCAGAGTATCAAAGTCAGAGTGACTAGTTTATGTCTTGTTGTATTTTCGTTTTCCATTTTTTTGAAGATAGGAATAACAGTTGGTTCCTTTGGTCATTTGCCAGATCATCCGGATTTCTCAAACATAATTGGTAAGGATATGAAAATACCATGATGTAACGCTTTGGTATATTTAAATGAAATTTAATCTGATGTTGGAGATTTAAATATGTTGAAATAAACATATATTCTTGCTCCTTCTTAATCTTGCCTCTTCATTGTTTTTTAAGAAAAGTGCCTTGGGAAACACTTGCATTACACAAGCACATATATCATCTATATATACATATATATTATATAGAGAGATTATGGTTGTCACTATTTATCACTATTTATCTTTGTTATGTGTCTCAAAGCGTTGCCTAAGAGCCTGCAATATGCTTCCTGGGATTTTCTGGTGTTTGTCCCGTAAAGCCTCCATTGCCCTTTGAGTCTGTTGGAGAGGTGGGATGGCAAGGGGTAGAGTGGGATGAGGAAAAGAAAGAAAAAAAATGATATAATTTAGATTTATGTTTCAGGAATTATAGAGAGAACATTGTGTTCTATGTCCAGCTCATTTTTCCTATAAGGAAAAGATGCTCCATTCTATTGATCAGGTGCTATAGAAAGGTGCTCTAGGACAGTGGTTCTCAACCTGTGGGTCGGGACCCCATTTGGGGTCGAACGACCATTTCACGGGGGTCGCCAAACAAGGCTGTCTGCCATTTTTTTCCCCTTTTCTTTGGCCACGCCCCTGGCACCCGGTGATGTATAAGTGGTTGGGAGTCACCACAATATGGGGAACTGTATTATGGGGTCGCGGCATTAGAAAGGTTGAGAACCACTGCACTAGGAACTATGAAATTCTGCAAATATGACTAAGTTGAATCACTTTGCAACTCTAAACATTTTGTACCTACTGCCATTCTTCAACAGAAATATGTTATTTTATTATAATTTCAAATAAGGAATGGTGCAGAAGAGTGTTTTAGTATACTTGCCCAGAGAACTGAGAAAGCCACTTCCCTTTCTCCCATCCACTTTTCCATTTGTGTGTTTGTGTGTGTGTGTGTGTGTGTGTGTGTGTGCGTGTGTGTCTATTTGTCTGCCTGTCTGCCTGCCTATTTCACCTAAGATATGCAGATGATACCACTCTAATGGCAGAAAGTGAAGAGAAACTAAAGAGCCTCTTGATGCGGGTGAAGAAAGAGAGAGAAAAGGTTGGCTTGAAACTCAACATTAAGAAAACCAAAATCATGGCATCTGGCCCTCTCAATTCCTGGCAAATAGATGGGGAAGAAATGGAGATATTGACAGATTTTATCTTCCTGGGCTCCAAGATCACCTCAAATGGGGACTGGTGCCAAGCAATTAAAAGACGCTTGCTCCTGGGGAGGAAAGCTATGGCAAATCTAGACAGCATATTTAAAAGCAGAGGCATCACCCCATTAAAAAAAGTACATATAGTGAAGGCCATGGTTTTCCCAGTTGCAATGTATGGATGTGAAAGTTGGACCATAAGAAAGGCTGGGTGCCAAAGAATTGAAGCCTTTGAACTATGGTGCTGGAGAAGACTCCTGCAAGTCCCTTAAACTGCAAGGCAATCAAACTAGTCAGTCCTAGAGGAGATCAACCCCGACTGCTCTTTAGAAGGCCAGATCCTGAAGTTGAAACTCAAATACTTTGGCCACCTAATGAGAAGGAAAGACTCACTGGAGAAGGGAAAGATTGAGGGCAATAGAAGAAGGGGACGACAGAGAATGAGGTGGCTGGATGGAGTTACTGAAGCAGTAGGCATGAGAAGATGGTAGAGGACAGGAAGGCCTGGAAGAACATTGTCCATGGTGTTGCGATAGGTCGGACACAACTTCACAACTAACAACAACAACTGCCTGTTTCAGCAATGGAGTGAAATGAGGAACCAAATTGTTTAAAAAACTTTTGGTGTGCTTAAGGAATCTTCTGTTTTACTAATGGGAGACCTTATATATTCAAGTTGGTATAGCTACATCTCTTGTGGCCAGTATGTTTATGAATAAAATATTTTTGGTGATTAATCACAATATTCATACAATTTCCTCCCTATAATTTTCACCTGATTTTATAATAGTCAAATGGGTGTAATTGCCTGGATTTTTAAAAAATGTTTATTATCATCATATAACTTATTTTAAAAGAGAGAAAAAAAAGAGAGAAGAAATATGTAATTAGCACACATCTCATGTACTATATAACTAATATAGTTTATATTAAACAATGTAAAAGCATTTATCCTATAAAATACATTTTATATGATACAATTATTATTAACATGTATGTGATATTTTAACAATAGTGCATTGTTATTTTATATGAAATATTTGTCTTTAGCATCACATCTCAAATAAACCCATATTTTCCTAAAACACAAATGGGCCTATTGCTCATGCAATGAAATTCTTTGGGTTGAAAATAAGAAAACCCATCCTTTGACCGAGCCATCCTAGTTCATTATTACCCAATCCTCAATCTACCATTTCCTGATAAAGCTGTTAAGCTCCAACGATGGAAGATCATGTAGGAAAACATATTATTTCGAGGTCTTTCACTTGGGATTCAGCAATAAATGTGGGATTGAAATTGTTCTTATACATGACCTATTTGTTCTCTCCTTATTTTGTCAGAATTATTAACAGGATTAAATAACACTGGCCAGGACTATATGCTAGGTTTGAGATTGGAAGCACTGGTTTTCAATGGTTCCCCTCCTTCTTAAGCAGGCAATTACGAATGATCTTATTGGTGTGAATGATTGTGAGGTGCCCCAGGACTTCACCTTTTTCCTCATTTTATTTAACTTATACATAAAACACCTGGGAGAGGTCATTCAACAATCTGAGACCCCTCATATCACTAATGTAGTGATATTTATCAACATTACAGGCTGGACAGGAGATATATTGAAGTCTTGATTGGTATTTGGATTTGTGAAGGACTAGATGGAGCTAAGAGTTGAATCCCAACAAGATAGAGTTACTATTATACTGAAATCATTTGATCACATGAAATTTCTGTCTACTGATCTTGACAAACTTGCAGTCACCGAGAAAAAGTTGGTATGCATTTTGAAGTGCTGGGGTGCTGGAACTGTGTCCTAAGCAATCTTCAACAGGTAAGAAAGCTATATCTATTCCTGGACTAGGTCTTCAGACAGTGACTCCTGCCTTTGTCATGTCTCAAAATGTTTTCATTTATTTTATGTGAAGCTGCCATTGAAGACAACCAAGAAATTGCAGTTATTTGCAACTAAAGTTCTTAGGGCTTTAGTATGATAGTTATTTCATAGATGTTTTCATTTAAGCTTACAGTTAGCCATGCTGAGTAATTTAAATAAGTGATATTTAAACACTGATGGATGAATGGAAGGATGGAGGGATAGCTGGGTGGGCAGTAGTCTTCCACTGACAGTTATGTACCAAATCCTCAACTATACTTATGCACATCTAGGTAATGTATTTCAATAACTGCTTAGAGTTATAATTTCATGAACAAAGTGTTAATTTGAATGTATATTTTCCCCTTACAATAGAATACACTTACTTTTTCAGCTAATTTTTCAGGAGTTATATCTGGATCATATGGAATTGGTTTTCCAATATGGCTTATAAGTTTAACTGGAAACATTCCATATAATGGAAAGATAAACCATCGGGTTCGCTCATATAACCATCTCATTGGTCCTGTGTACAAGATTTAGAAAATCTCAGAAACAATTTTAGCAAAGTGCAAAGTTTCATATTAGTCTTTGTTAGATACCTATATTCAAAAACTAGCAATTTTTAGTGGTGGTATCAGAAGTTACTAAGAGAAAGAGAAGAGAATAAGCTATCATATTTGGGCCTTACAATTTGCAAAGTTTAGCTTAGATTTTACAAAGGTTTGAAAATTAGAGTTTAGAAAAGCAGGCTAATCCAGACATGTAAACACACACACAGATCCCAGAAGACTGATAGATGGCAGGATGATGGATAAGTAGACAGACAGACAGACAGACAGACAAAGTTTCCAGAATAAGCCCAATGCATTTACAGTATATTCTGTAATTTCTGGGTCAGCCCTATATCCATATAATCCCATGACCTTATGTCAATTATAGGAAATGTATTTAATCAGGTTTTCCAGCAAAGCTTTGAAGTTCTGTAGAACTCAGAGTTAGATATTTTCATATATTTCATATTCATATATCTATATACAGTATTCATTCAGCATTTTAATGAAGTAGATGAAAAGAGATTAGACAGGAGGAAACTCACATTTATTGTTCTTTAATTGATCTTCATAAAAAAGAATTAAATGAATATACTCCCAAATTGATCTACATCAATTATATTTTTAAAATATTTATAGTCCAGGTTTAGCTATTGCTGCTTGAGCTACAGTATCATTGAAATTAAAAATGGCAAGAAAAGATGCAGATGCATAGATTTATAGCCTTAAAAGTAATAACATTCCTGAGAATACATAAAGTTTTACTTACTTATATTTCCATATGTTATATATCCTTCTCTAATGTTTTGTGTAAATACAGGGATGATTGGCTAGAAGAAATAAAAGAAACAAATAATGAGACTTATTTTAATCACCGTACATGAAAGAAATGAAATGTATTGTTTGGCTAGAAGAAATAAAAGAAACAAATAATGAGACTTATTTTAATCACCGTACATGAAAGAAATGAAATGTATTGTTTGGACATAAAATAGATCTTTGAGAACCTAATGTGTATATGTTGCTAAAGTCATTGCATCTTTTGATTTCCTATCACTTATTTTCTTCGGAGATTTTAATCACTGCAACAGCTGCATTATCCTACTAAATGTAGTTTGAACTCAGCTTCTGAGGTGCTGAACTATCCTTCATTCTTTCTTTAGTGTTGAATTCTCATGCATCTAATCTTTGAAGATTTTGATTCAAAAACTAACATTAAACCACGGCTTTATTTTTCATGTTAAATCTTGTATTTAATAAACTCAGGATATGTCAAAGAAAGAGACAAGAATTTAATAAAAATATTATGATTCTTTTTTGTTTGTGTGTTTATTATTTGCCCATATTTGTGGGAATTTAGGAACAACTAAACATCCCTGAAAGAGCAAGGAGAGATTGACCAGCAGATGGCGAATTGTGGCTGGTGAAGATTTTTCACAAACAGAAGACATTATTAAATGCCCTCATGCACTCCAGACAGTTGCTTCTTATGAATTGGCAGAAAGAATTGAAGTTTTTGTGTTTGGCTTATGAGCTAAGCTTGCTGGGATCCTAAAGATTCCAGTCAGGCTCACCACTACAATTTATCATATATGGAGACAAGGTTCACACAAGCCTCATTTCTTAACCAATTCCAGATGTAATTTATTTACATCTAAAGCAGTGGTTCTCAACCTGTGGGTCGGGACCCCATTTGGGATCGAACGACCATTTCACGGGGGTCGCCAAAGAATGCAGTCTGCCATTTTTTCCCCCTTTTCCTTAGCTGTGCTACTCCCTTTTATTCTATTGGCTTTTGAAAGCCAATAGAATAGACTCTCTTGAATAGAGTCTAATTCTATTGGCTTTCAAAAGCCAATAGGAATTGTTCAGGCTGTCTCTGCCCTGCTGAGCCCGCCAAAAGTCCCATTCTGCAAATGGTGCTGCACCAGTTGAGTAGTCCTCGACTTACAACCGGTTGAGTAGTCCTCGACTTACAACCGATTGAGTAGTCCTCTACTTACAACCGGTTGAGGGTCACGGCATTAAAAAGGTTGAGAATCACTGATCTAAAGAGAGGCTTTCTAAGCATAGAGTTCTATTTGATGACATTGTATGGTTTGATACAAATGATTAAAGGACACTAATGGTTTTAAAGACTTAAATTTTTTTGGCAAAAGCTTGGCTGTATTTTAAGTGATAAGTTGTCAATGTTGAATGTGCTTGCTGGGTATTTTCCACACCTTTCAATTCTTTTTACTTTACTATTTTCTTTTATTTTAAATGATTTTCTGTGTAAGTTTTTGTATTAGCTTTATCTGTTTAATATAATTTGTAATAAAAACACCGGAATAAAAGTTACATAGGCAGAAAGATAAAATATATAGAATAAATAGAAGATTTTTGAGAATAAGAAATGTTTTGCTGCATTTGTCAGAAACAAAACAAAAAATCAAGTTTTGTAGTATTTTAATACAAGACTGAAGATTGACAATAGATATAAAATTGTGTTGGATGGAAACAGGAAGATGGAAGGGTATTAGATACATTCACCTCCTGAAGTTATTTATAAAATATAACACATGCAGCATTAAATGTGAAAATGCTTTCTAAAAACTGGGGTGAAAAGTTTTATTTTAGCAAGAAGAAAATAAAAAAAAAGAAATGGAGTTGTTTTGTATATAAATTTATATTGACTGATGAATATGGTAAATTGGGGGGGTGCTAGAATTTCATTTGCATGGGACTTTCATAAAGGGACCAACTCCCAAATGAGGAGAAAATATTATTTTATAAATGATTTATGGAGAGATTGATAGGTTTCTCTTATAAAAATTGGTGTCCAATGAGGGGTTAAAATGGAGTGATCTCATCACAAGTGGGCAGAACTTCTAAGAAGAATATTCAAATAACCAAATGTTTTCTTTGATTTGATGGACACTTTAGGTGTGGTGGAAATATGGAGACAGAAAAATGGCAATTCAAGAGAGTATACTTACTTTTGTGAAAGTCATAGGTCCTTGTCAAGAATATATATGATTTAAATTTCAAAGAACATGGCTACAAGGATTTCTGAAGTCGCAATATTATCAGACACAATTTGATCATAATCCTGTGAGTTTGGTTTATAAAAGAAAATCTTTTATAAACAAGATTTATAAAAAGCAATAGTGGAAGACTGTAAGGAGAAATTAATATATTTTTTTGAAAAATATTTAGGTAAAGACAGATTGGGAATCATTTGGGATTCACGTAAAGCCTGTATTACACATTATTTCATTAAAAATAAGAGCCAACAGAGAACACAACCTATTTTAGAAGAAATAAAGAGAAAAGAATTAAACAAAATTCCAGAGAAGATCAGTATTCCTCAATAAATTAAGCTTCTACAATGACAATTACTTATGCTAACAGTAAGAGAAATAGAAATAAACCTGAATTATATAAAGCAAAAAAGTCAGTGTATAAATAAACCATAGATATAGGTAGCATGTGAATTATAAAAAATAAAAAACAGAAAATGATATTGCAACTAAAAAGAGAGATAATGAAAAATATCATCAAACAAAAAGAATTCCGTCAATGTTATAATGATGTGATACCTTTCTAGAGAAGATAGAAAAATGTGTTAAGAAACAAAATTTATGGAGGATTACAGAAGACCTAGAACAACAAAGAAGATTCCTGAAGCTACAAAAACATTAAGCCTGGACCATATGGATTATAAGATTTTTATTCTAAATGTTTTGAGGATAAAATTTTACAACTTTACAAACCAAGATGAACTCTATCTGACAGGAAAGAAAGATGCCAGAGAGTTAAAAAGAGTTCAATAGAGTTTTAATACCTAAAGAGGGATAACATTTAACTTTTACAAGAAATGATAGGTAAATATCGTTATTAAATAACGACTGCATGTTCTTTACAATTATTCTGGTTGATAGACTGAAAATAATTTTACAAGAATTTATTCATAAGTATCAGTGAGGGTTTTTATTAAAAGACAATTAAAACACAATTTTAGAAAGATGTTGAATTTTTGGAATATTCAGAGTTACATATTTAAAAACAAGCCAAATATAGCTGAATCTTGATAAGTGGGGGTATTCAGAGACTTGGGATCCAGAAGTTTATCTTTAGTTCTGGATAGGTATTATACCCCAGACATTATATTGTATGAATTTTTTATTTCTATATATTTTTTATTTATTATTTTATTTTTATATATTTTATTTATTTTTTATTTTTTATATTTTATTATTATGTTCTTATTAATTGTTTAGTTTATTTATTTTTAATTTTATTTATATATTTTTTTATTTTATTTATTTGGATCTTATAGTATTTATTATATTTAGATATGAAGCAGCATTTTATTTTTATTATTTTATATTTTTTATACAATACAAAGGCATTATTTTTATTTTATATGAAGTTTTAATTTAACAAATCTTTATTTTATTTCTTTAGCTATTTTATATTTTATATTATTTTTTATTTTATTTTATTTTTATTATTTTATATTTTATTTTATTTATTTTATTTTATATTTTATTATTTTATTATATTTATTTTATATTTATTATTTTGTTTATTTTGCAGACCCCTGCCCTATACTGACTATGTTTTGGGAGAAAGTAGTAGCTTATATAAATATAATTGTGCAACAAAAGCTAATATTTTCATACAATAATTTGCTCTTGAACTACATTTCTAGGATTATGTGAATGGGAGAAAGAAGATTTGCCTTTTCCTGGCCTTGAAAATCTGATTTGTGGTTGCTTGTACCTTCCTGTACATTTGCAGATAGCTTAAAGGTAAGTAGATGACATGAAAATGAAATATAGCATTTAAAAATTTATATTCCAATGTAAAAGACCACTAGTAAAAAAGATGTGATGGCTCACCACTTTTGCATCTATAGCCATATGAGCAAATCCTTTCCGTTTTCCCCATATTAGTTTATAGTAGTTATTTCCATAATTTTGCTCTCGTACTCCTCCTGGTGCAATTCCCAGTACATGCCCTTGTTTCAAAATGTTTAAACACTTTTCTCTTGTAGAATGATTAGTGTGATGGACAGCGAGGAATAGATGTATTCCTGCAAAGGCAGACATAAGAAATCATTCTGTTCTTGCTTGTAAAAGAAAACAGAATACACATATTTCCACCATGACATAAGTCTTTGAAGAAGAAAAAATGGACTTCCCAAGTCAGTGAATCTAAGGTATATCATTTGAAAATAATTAAAGCTAAACTTTTAATATTCTTTTTTACCTGGTATATGAAAAATAATATGATCTATCACAGAATAGAATAATCTCCCAGTGAGTCTATAAATCCTTTGAATAAAATAATAATAGTCAATTGGTACAGCTCCATGGTAATAAACAAGGATCGCTGGTCCTTTTGGTAGATTTTCTAGTCCAGAAACCTCATAACCTGTTAATGGTAGAATAATGAAATGACTTCAGTAATGTTTCACAAGGGTCTCCTGTAGAAGAAAGGAAGTTCATGTAGAAAAAATGACCTTTTTTCCTCAGCTTTCTTGTGAAACTAAACATTTTAAATCATATGTGATTTTTGGAACGACAAGCTGTCATATTAGGTAACAAAATCAATCAGAATTGTCAGAGTTCAGTGCTATTACCTTTGTGATCCAGCATATTCATTCTAATTTTTTAATAATTCATTTAGATTCATACCAATTAAAGTGACATAAAAGCTTATCTTTTATCTCAAACATCTCAACATTATCTTAGAAATTATGGCCATTTTAAAACATTTTTAAAAGGTAATTTTGGTATTCTACTTACTTTTTCAAGAACTGTTAATAGATACATAATATGTGTTGTGGGAAGAATCCAGAGAAACAAATACTTTGGGAAATATTAAAAAGGCAGAATATATTTCCCCAAAGGATTTTAAAGACAGAACCCCCCCCCCCAAGTCTCTCTGCCCCAAAGAGAAACCAGGTCTGCAGAAATGCAGATGTGATAATCTTGTCAGAAAGATTGGAGCCAGGAAGCTTAGATTAGAAAGAAAGATCCCTAGAATCAACATTCCCTCACACCAAAAATCCAACAGTCATCAGCCACAGCCACAGCCACAGGGAAGCAGAATATGACCTTTGGAACATAATAGGATTAACCCACCACCATCAAAATACCAGAAAGGCACACTCAGACTCAGGTCAAAGTTCATGCCACAGGAACAACTCCAAACAGTTGTTTAGTGAAGCAGTTGTTAAGCAAACACCATGTGACTGCTTTGTTCAATGACCACAATCCCTCTCTCCAAGTTGTGATCATTAAGCAATTTCATGGATTATTAACTGGAGTGGTAGGAAGAAAGCCTGACTCTCCTGAGAGTGATGGGACAGGGAGATGGAAAAAGCCTCCCAAATGCACCCGGAAAATCTGGGCTGGCTCCCTACCCGACAGAGAAGAACAATAGCAAGAATGATGGTGTGCACTAGATTTGAAGACTATTCCTCCAGTGCACTGATGGATTTCCCCTCTCAGGAACATTCACTAAATCATATTTGTTTTTTGATGTTTCCTAACACTAAGCTTGAAAAATATTCATTTTTATTTTTCTAATGCTATTTTTAAATATAATGATCCCAACATGCACATGCTTAAATATTTCTGGTATTTTATGGTTTTATATATACAGTTTTTTTATTATTTTAAAAATATGCCTGCAATTGCTCTGATGAATAGTGGATTAAGACAACTTCTTCATCCAGTTCTTTAGCCATAGAGATAAGGGAGTTCCTTGACTAGGACCACTTTTACCAAAAAGAATTATACATAAATTGACAGTATGCATCCTCAGTTTTCCATTAACATTCTATTAGATTCAGATGTAGCTCCAAGATGCACATGATTGATAATTATGGCTGGCAAAATGAATGATGCCTATGATGGTAAGTTCCTCAATCCTGCCTTAAAGAATGAATGAAGAAAGTCATACTTACTGTGCAATATTTTTCCATGCCAGTCAGCTGCCAGTGCCATAAATTGCTTTGGCTTGTCCCATTTTTGGCTACTTATATCTTCTGGCAGATTGCCAATTTTTTTCCATACAAAAAGTATTGCATTACTGACATAGATGTTAAAAAATACATGAACAAAGGGATAATATAATATTATCACAATCATTAACAAAGTTAAGGGATATACCATAAAGCTTGCACATCCTTCTAAAATGTATGTTGACCAGATTGTAAATTCATTTCTTAAGGTACAGTATATATTTTCCACAGTCATGTTTGAAATCAGACTATATAAAAAGAAATCCATTCAAAAACAAATAATTTCTTCCTGGAAAAGAGAAATAAAAAACACAAAACATACTTTACTATTATTAATAGTTGCAATATTTAGCTCTGAGAGGACACAGAATATCAGTATGGTACTGCATACATGGTGATGACACTTTCAAATAGCCTTATGGAGAAGATTGGGCTCAGCGAGGGTAAACAAATAAAGGCTTAGTACAATCAATCAGACTATTGATCCTTTTAATGAAACATTACTGGCATTATTAGAGACTTAGGTTAGACTTATTTCTGAACCAACCAAAAAAGACAATGACCAGCCAATGGTGCCAATATGGAAGGTGCTCCTTAACTTTAGAAACAACCTGTGGGTTATTGTGCACAGGACAATTCTAGACACCCTCTGTTTAAAATCAGACATGGAATTTTTTTTCTTCCTGGCTAATGTTCATTCTCTCTCTCTCTCTCCCCCCCTCATTTTTATTAGAAAGGGATCAATTGTAGATTCTTTGCAAGAAATTCGCCTTCCTTTTTTCTCTGCTAGAACCTGGTCCAGACATCTCCAAGCCTGCCATTCCTTTAACAATTCAATAAGGAGTGTTTCATATATGCTTCATTTAGGATTTTCACAGACACCATTCAGTAATGCAGAATAAAATAAAAAAAAAAACTGGCTTGCCTCGCAATCTATCATTAAGGAAATTATTTGATCAGCTAACAGAAGGAATAAGTATTTCCTCTCTTTGTTTTCTATAAGCTAACTGCTCAAAGAACTTCTAGCAGAAGACAAAAACTATCAGTATTCCATTCACTATGATAGCTGGTATCATTATCAGCCTCTCATCTTGGCTTTGTTCACAACTGAAAGGAAAATAGCAGTAATGTTTTAGATTCTGGAGATATTTGAGAAGTATCTTTATAGAGTCCATTAAATCTTTAAAATAATATTCAGTTTTCTGCAAAATGACTGTAAGGCTTTTCCTCTGACACCCCAAGTCACTTAGAAGAGTTGATGAAAATGGGTGACTCATGTCCTAGAGGGGCAACAAGCAAGGAGGGGACCCCCACTTGATTGCGGGAAGGCGGTAGCCCTTCTGCTTGATCTGGGGCAGCCCTCCAAACCAGTGGATGAAAGACTGGCCACAGAAATATGGCCTGTCACTAGGCTGCAGACAACCAAAGTCAAACTTACCACCGGACACCTATAAAGCAGCACAGATGAGAATGGGTGAGATCTGAACCTCTCTTCAATCCTAACTATTTTTTCTACCTGTATAAGCTGCTAAAAGTATTTCCCCCCCTGTGGAGAGAGGGAAGGGAAATTCTATCCCACTCTTTAAAAACAGCAGCAACTGACTATCCAGCGCAGTTTAAAACATTGAAAGAATAACCTGATTCTAACTAGATTTTTATCTTTCTAAAATTTGAAGACTAAAAGTTTTCTTATTTTTGTTAAAGATTTGGAGTTTTACTTACAAAAAAGAAGTAAAATTTTGGATTTTTTTTTAAAAAATCTTAAATGATATGTGTGACATCTTGTGGCTAAATCTGATATTATTGTCTAAAAGAGACTTTGCTTGAAGCACAGACTATAGATAAGACTTTTGCAATCTTGGCAGATATTAGCTATGAGAAGCCCAGCTGTGTTCTATACTCAGTGACAAAATTATTTTCACTCTCTGATCGTAAAGCTTTTAATTTAACAAATCACTAAGAGAACATGGATGTTGAAAGCAATTTATGAAACTATTCTTACAGCTTCTGATGAAATAAGAAGCTACGGAAAAGAACAAGATGTCAGCCTAGATATACGAACCCAACTTTTTAATTGATATAATAAGAATTGTATTAGTTTAAATACAGTAAACACTAGGGGACAGCAAACACTAAGGGGAAAAGAGAGGAAATATTTAATGTGGTAGTTTGAGAGTTGTATTAAAGATATTAGTATGTCATTGAATTATCGATTAACTCAGCCACCACATTGCTTTTTAAACACTTAAATGTAAAATTAGAAAATCAATAAAACATTGTAAAAAAAAGAAAATGGGTGACTCAACTGAATTTTCTTCAGAATGAAATTGTAATTTATACATTAATAACCCCTCACTTTTCTGTAATAAAAATTCAGTATCAAAACATTAAAAGAAAAGTTGTAAATTTATAAACAAATATAACATTATTGATTGACAAAGGAAAACTAGAGTCCCCCCATTCAATGAAAGGAAATCAATTTCACCTGTATATCACCTGTTTTCCAAAGGGATCTGTTTCAGACTCTTTCCTAAAAAAATAAGTTTGAACTCTGATGTCATTTGTTTTTAAACCAACACAATGCTCTATTGTCCCTCCCTCAGAGGGTGGGGTGAGTACAAATTCAATTCAAATTAGCCAACTGTATTGGTGTATGGTCTGGGATTGGGCAATAGAAATGACTAGGCAAAACATTCAATACAAACCGGAAACATTAATATTAGGAATATTAGAGAAAATGTAAATAAAGAGGACACATATTTAATTATCCATGTGGTCACAGCAGCAAGGATACTATTTGCTCAAAAGTGGAAAGCAATGGAAATACCGAGTGGAGAAGCACTAATAAAGAAAATTATGTATTGCGCAGAACTAGATAGGATAACAAAAAGATTAAAAAATCAGGAAGAAACAGAATTTTATCGAATATGGAATAAATTTTATAGATGGAGGGAAAAATGGAGAAAAAAAAGATAAACTGAGATAGAGACTAGAAATGTATAGTTGTATATAGGTATATTATATGTAATTAATGTACAATATCAAAGACAATTTACCATGTTCAATGTTTTTAATCCTTTTTTTGTACTTAATAAAAATTTAATTAAAAAAACAAATTAGCCAACCAATGCTAATTAACTTGCATATTTAAATGAAGAATAAAGTATTTTAGCATAGAGGATTAATTGGTTTGGTACTTAGGAGACTGGAACATGAGTTGCCTCTTAGGAGCATGTGATAGTGCTTGGGAAACTACATAATTGATTGTAAGCTCTCTCTCTCTCCCATTGTGTTCTGTGCTGTGTGCTGTCCCACTCATGCATGGACATATACCATGGGTGTAAGGAGTCTTTATTAAGGCTTCCAAGCCTGAATTGGTATTCCCCCAGCAATTTCCTCTGTAAACACCAGCTCAACCCCAATGACTTCCACAGGCTACTCAAATGAAGCTAATATTAGTACTCAAGGAAAAGGAAAGTCCAGGAGGGGAGTTGGTCAATGGCTCCAAGCAGCAATCAGAAAGTGATTTGGCTGAAGCACAGCTGCAGCAGGACAGCCCTGAGACTTCCGGTGGGGAAAGCACACAGCTGCAAAAGGCAAGTTTCTAAGACAAAGGCAAGTTTCAAGGCAAAGGCAAGTCCACAGGGTAAAGGCAAGGCCATAGCTGAAGAGAAAGTTCAAAGTTCAAGGCAAGAACACATAGCAAGGAAATGAATACTTTATTCCCAGCATAGTCTCCATCTGTCAGCTGTGCTAAATAGCCAGCTTCTGGTGCAGCCCATCAAGAGGCCTCCTCACAAATAATTGGACTAACCTTCATTGCTCCTGCCTTTTCTCTGCCTTACATGTTCTTGGATCAGATGCAGAAGGCAGTTCTTCTTCCTCATCACTGACTGGCTGCAGCTATGTGCTTTTCCTACCTGAAGCAGGGCTCTCCTGCTACAGCTGTGCTTCAGCCAAATCACTCTCAGATGGCTGCTTGGAGCCATTGACCAACTCCTCTCCTGACCTGCCTCCTCTGATTTGACATCTGGAGAGGCATCTGAGGAAGCGTCCAAGGGAGTCATTACATTCTTGGGGGGAGGGTTTGGAATTATGTGGGTTTTGTACTCTCCAAAGACTGGACACACGACAGCATAGCAGATCTGTACAAAATACTGTATTGCAGCACATACCTTCCCCAACAACTGGCTACTGCTCTGGTCAGCCCCTCATTTCTGTTTTGACAGCTTATGTTGACACATAAATGTCTTTAATACTCAGTGCCCTAAAGATAGCCTTCAATGTACGACCATAACAGAGCCTGAACTGAAAGTTCTGATGGTCATAAAACAGGTCAGTCACATGACCATCCTTTTTGCAGTGGTTGTTAGGCAACTGTGGTAGTCATAAAGTAGCTGTTTTGATTCATAAGTGAATACCCTAGTTACTAAGTGAACCAACAGTTTGCTATGAGTGTGATTTTACTGAAAACTGTAAAAAATGCTGTTTTTTGGCATGTGACTATGGGAAACTGCAAATGCATAAATGCTGCCTGCTGTTGAGCACCAAAGTTCAGTCATGTGATTATAGAAGTGTGACTATTGGAACTTCAATCCTGGGTTGTATGTAGCCTCCAGGTAGGTTTATCATAACTTTGAATAATCAATACGTGATCAGTCATAAGTCAGGGACTACCTGAATACTAATTCTATTATTAGTTCAGACAACTAATAAACAAGGTTATAACATATAACCTTTGCCTTTTTTCAAATTGTCTTGCACTATTTGGGTGAGGTAGCATTTCAAGCTGATTGCACCTTTCCTAGTGGTTTCTGAGCTCCAGGCAAAACTCTAAGCAGGACTCTCACCAGGATATATTCAACATAGCTTGTGAGCTTTTGAACAAAACACATCTTGCCTGTTTGTAATGACAGCCAATCTGCAGATATCACCCCCCTTCCTCACGTGTAGGCTGTTTGCTTAATGTCAGAACATACTTGAAAACACCAAGTTGTGACTCAATACAGGCAGCTGCAACATCATCTTAGATGCCTGTGAGTAAATGTATGAGTGAAAATCTCACTACCTAAGAAAAGTTCAAGGGAAGTGTGGGAAGATTACAGAGAAAAACATATTTTGGGAAATATTAAAAAGGCAGAATATATTTCCCCAAAGGAATAATAGAGAAGATCTTAAAACAGACAGAAACCAGCCCCCAGAAATCAGCTCCAGCCCCTAGGCAAGCGGTTCTCAACCTGTGGGTCACGACTCCTTTTGGGGTCGAACGACCATTTCACAGGGGTCGCC